AGTGCGAAATAATTGTAATTAGTTATAATTGGTTGCTTTTTAATTTAAAATAAGATACACGTTGAAACATTTCACTAAAACCATTAGGTGTTTTAAAATGAAATGATTCAATTGAATCATCACTATGTAGAAATATCGTGTAATGGAGTAATACATTTATTACAAATTTTAATAAAAAATATATTTAGATCATTGAATAAAATTTAGAGTAATATTTATAATAGCATAAAATACATTAAAGTGATTGAATTCTATACAGCAAAAATATTATATTTCTTTGATTGTTAACCAGACATAAGTTTATAATATAGATAAAAAATACATTATTATTATTCTAAGGTATGCAAAAAACGGTAAAAACATTCATTGCGTGTTATACATGTAAAATGTTACAAGAATATGGGCTCCTATTATTTATAATTAATTGAAATTGAGATTTTGAATGATATTATACCTCATTTGTGAGTTAATACCAAATTATTATTATAAACAGCTAAAACGAAGTAAATGGAAAATAAATATTTAAATTTTAGCTCTGGCGTTTTGTGTGACTAATGCTGGGACCCTAGTACGTAGTATTTCTGAAGTTTGATAGTTTTCTGTTGTTGATGCCTTCGATTTGCATGATAGGCAATTTACACGCTTTACTTGAACCGATCTTGTACCGGATATAAATGTAAACCGATTCATATATATCGTATAAGGTAATAACCGGCAATAGATTGTTTTTTTATATAACTAAGTGATTGGAATTTTGTTGGAATTTCGCCAGTTGCCTCAAATGATGAATTTGCAATAGATATAATGTGTAGATATAATCTTAGTTTTTTTCATAATCTAGAAGCACAAAACGAACAACCTTCATATTATTTATCTAAAAAGTTACCTGTATTTGTATGATATTGTTTAAACAACTTTTGTGAAAAAAATTACATGTTTGTAAAATCTTATTATTTAATTGTTCAATCGTCATTAATGATGTAAAATTACCATAATAATAATTAAACGTTCTTTACAAAATTCTTTTTAACATGTTTATATAATATTTTGTATTAATTTAAAGTGGCCAACAAGTAAAAATTTAAAAAATTAGTTATATACAAATTTGTCTATTTAGTCACTGGTTAAAGTAGGTGTATTGGGTAGGGATGGAATCTCTCTACTTATTTTGTCGAATTATTAAAAACTAATTATCATAATGCAGCTCGACATCAAAAAAGTATTATTTATGTTATCATTACTACTATCTGATTCATATTCAAATATTAATTTTATATATGAGACAACAACAATTGAAGGGATCAAAATGATATTATGAAAATAAATAAGTACAATATTAAAAATTTAATTATTCCTTCTTTCGATAGATTTAAAGATCTCAGTGAACTTTTTTAATCAAAGTCCTGTTTATCGTCGATTTTTAAATCACTAATTGCATTGAAAATTTATGATATCTTAGTTTTTTAGTTCAATTATCTCAGAATTAATTTTTTGTCACTTTGACCCTAGGCGTCTCGTATTGTATCACATTGTATCTTTCAAAATTTAATATTACAATTAAAAAATATTTAATTATAAAATTTATGTGATTCCATCAGTTTTATATTCTGACTTTAAAGTATTTAACTTACAACGAACGCTTTAGTAGAATTTAAAATTAATGGAATTTATAGGAAAAACTTTTTTGGGATACAAAAAGATAATACTCGAATATCTGTTTCACTGAATAAAAATTTCTAGAAACGTTAAACATTGAAAGTAATGTATATTCTATTTAGAAAAATGTAACGAAAAGTTTTTGAATTGTACACATTAAATATTAATATTTGATATTCATAAAATAATTTCGTTTATTTTATCTTTAGATAAATTTACGATAAAAATTATTATTATTTTTATCTTTATAAAAAGATGAAATAGTTGGTATAAACGTGAATGGCAAATTATTTAAAATTTTTGGGAATAGTGTTGTTACAAACGCACTAAAATCAATATATTAGAGATGCATAGTCCTTAGTTGACCAAATATAACTTTATATATCTATGTAAGTAATTATTCCAATGAAAACAATCATATCAAATTTTAATCTAATTTTTTAGAAGAAGTGAAACTTAAAAAAAATATGCTAATGTACAATTTAAAAAAATAAATCACTAAATTACAAAATTACGGCATGGAGTTCACATAAAAGTAGGTTACCTTTCAATAAATATTTTTGTATTGACTTATTGAATTGTATCAACGTTAAACAAACTTCGTGTGAAGTACCCAAAATATGATAAGTAAAAAAAAAAAAACTTCTAGAAGTTCTTTCATTATTCAACCAATTTGACGAAAAAAGTAGCAATATTTGCAAAATTATTTTTTCGTCACTTAATTTGATTTATCATATATTGATTTACTTGACCTTGCAGTACAGATATTATTGAATTATAGAATTTTTTTGAATATAATACAATATTTAAATGCTAAAATTTCATATTTATTCTGATAGTAAAGCTTAGTTTCACCATTTTTTTTAGATTGTTTATCTTTGGACTTTGAGAATATCTTAATGATCAGTAATACATCCTTCTATTTCCTGAACTTAAAACGTGCTACACATGATGGTGGCTCCTTCACATATTAGGAAGTTAAATATGATTCTAATCTAGGCCAATAATGGGACGAGATGGGTATTAGGATCGGCTTACACAAAAGACCACCTATGAGAAAATCACAAGAAAAATCTCGTTGTCACCCTATGGATCAAACTCAGGACCCTATGCGCCGAAACACACATTTTTACCCACTAGGCCAGGTCCTTGAGTTTTGAATATATCAAAATATTTTATATTTATAGTGAAAAATTGTAATAATTTTATTGAAACAAAAACATTTTTTTCTTTTATTAAAATTAGACAATTTAATTATACTGATGTAGATATAGACCTGAAGATCTTTGATTCCATAAAAATACTTATGGCGCCAAGTCAATTTTGCATTAAAACTTAATATTTATTCCTGTGTTAAAAGTAGAAATAAGGACTTGACATAAAAATCGAAACAAAGTTTGATATAAGATTCCAAAAAATAATTTTAATTTTATAGTACTTGAAATTAATTTCATGAATTTTCAAATATTTATGTGAAGTTCTAATATCATATCTTATTTGTTGATAATTAATAAGAAAATATAGGAATTAAAGTTACCATGAAACATTATAATTATCATCATTTTGTTTATAATTGAAGAAAATAACAGTTATCCAACCTTTAAATCATACGATTGAATTAAATTCAAATACTTAAGGGACTAGTCTTTTACCCACAGAAATAATTGGTATAAGAACGCATCCGGTCAATGAACCATTTGGTCGTCTTTTAAGTACTTGCGATAATTGTTTTTCTTTATAATACTAGTACTAAGATGGATTAGTTGATGAAAATTCAATTATCATTTAGTTGTGGAAAATTATATTTATGATTCCTTCTAATCTTAAATATAATTATTTCTATATCTAAGAGAATGATTAAAATTTTATAAAAAAATCTAAAAAAATTATATTTTACCTTCAATATTTTAATAATATAACATAAACAACATAAAATTTTTGAAATAATTATATAGTGTAAATGTAGTAAAATGTTTTTTGTTTTTTTTTAATGTAACATACATTACATTTTAAGTTAAAAAAATTTAAGCATTAAACAGTTTTATAAGTGATGTTAAAGCTGTGTACTCCCACATTAAAAAGAAACAAGTTAAGTTTAACTTTTAAACTTATCTAGTTGGTTATTTTTTGAACATCATCTTAACTGAAAAGTCAACCTAATCCTATCGTGGACTAACTTAATCAGTAACTTTATTTTTTTTATAATAAATTAAGTTAGAGTTAGTAATTATGGTTAATGGACTTTTTCGTATTGTACTAAGAAAAAAAATATATTTATGTATTATACCCCTTTGAGATTTTGCCAAAATCATTTTGGTCTTAAGATAAATGTCTATGTCTTTCAATAGCATAACTATATGATAATAAGTTTTATTTTTAGTAATACAATAAATCGTTATTAATTATCCTTGTAGTTATCAGCGAAGTTCATTAAAATTTATATTTCTTTTTAAAAAAGTTAACCTTATATTTGGATAGCAAAAATTTCTTCTAGCTAACTTAACAAAAATCAAAAAGCTATTGTTATTTTTAAACCAATTGGTAACTTACATTTGAACTTGCTAACTTATTAGTTATAAATTGGAAAGAATGACTAACTTATCCAGTCGCAAGTAATGTGTTTGCAATAAAATATTGCAATAGAGAAATATAATATTCAGTTTGAACATTTCCATGTTTATTTTTATACGTATCTCATATCTGCTTTATTAGGAAAAATCTTTTTACATAGAACTTTGACTTTTCTTAAAGGGTTTTATATCAAACATGATATTATAATAGAATATCATGTTATTGTAATATATTATATTGATAATATATAATTTACACTTAATTAACTGGTTTTAAATTTTCACTTAAAAAACAAATTTAATTTTAAAAATTTAGAAAAAAAAAAATGAATATTAAACGTAAATAATGAGACTTTCGCATAAAAGGAGAGAACTTTTTTCATTTACTTGGAAGTATTAAAAGATTTAAGAAAATAATCTGATGAATTATGTAGTTATTTGAATCGTATTTAAAATTTTAAATGAAAATAAACTATTCAGAAAAAAATATGAAAAAGTAAACTACAAACATCCATAAAATATCAATTGTTGTTATTTTCTTCAATACGATTTATATAAAAGTGATACATTTTTTTCCACAATAAAAAAGGCCAAATAAGAAATTTTATTTGAAAACTTTCAAACGCGTTCTGATTTTAGTAACTTCCAATATGTTTGTTGCTCGTACATGTATTATTACTGTTACTCTAACATATTTTGACAACTGGTTCAAATAATTTTTCCTGATAAATTATAACAATTGGATAAATTAGATAATTAAATAGTATTACTCACAATTATACATTTTTTTGTTATCCCCTTGGAGGCGTAAAATAACTTTTTTCCTCGTCATTTGTTCGTACGTCACTGTAACATGTCGAAAATACAACATGGGTAATTGACTTGAATTAGTCAATTGAACAAACCCGAGTGTTATTACTGATATCGTGAAGGACCGCGTGTTTTTTTAGTCAGTCCTCAACAACCGATACTACCCTTAGAATCGCTAGGGTGCAACTGCCATCGTTAACTCGTTTCCAAATGCACTGAGCTCAAGATCTTTGATATTCAGGCGCCGTCAAAAAAACAGCGCTCACTGTGACGGGGTGGGATGTCATAAATAATGCCCATCATGTGCTTATAGTTACATGTAATTTTATTGAGTACGTAATAGGTTATCTTTTTTGTTGTTATGCAACCTTTTACTGTCCAACGATTCCTTATGCAAAACACGATACTCGGTAACATCACCTGTATAGCAGATAAATAACATCCTAATATGGTTCATAAAAATAGCCGACATCGCGTGACAAATACTGGACTCCGAGTAAAATTAGCGTTATAACTGGTAAAACAATTTATCTTATATTAAAAAACAGTAAATTTCGCGCATAGAAGTTCAATCCTGCACGAAATTATTTATTGTTTGGTTCACATTCATCCAAGTTTCCATAGATTCTTTTAAATAAGTGACAATTTATGGATTCAAAAAAATATTGCTAAAGGCGGTAATAGGATAAATTTTACATGTATACATTTTTATGAACAACATGTTCTCAATAGAAAATAAATTAGTTTCCGAACACTTATAGCTGTAGTTAAGAAAAAAATATTATATTGCGATTTTTATTTTAGCGTCCTTTATCTTTAAACAACACAGTTAGGCTACATCGTTTTTCAATTTCTATACTTCAATAAAGTTTTGTCCCGTATGATTTAAATTTTTTTCACTATTTTGGAATATAGTTATGACATTATTCTTTTGGTATAAATTAAACATTAACGAGAAGTCATGTATGCTGCATTTTTCACTTTAATTATTTATATTATTGTTTCTGTAAGTAATGTATTGATAACAAAACGTAAAAGTAGTTGTAAACGAATAAGAATTCTTTAATTGAAGCTTGAATTCTGCATTATTAATTTCAATTAATTTTTTTATTTGACCACTAACTGTTATGAATGTTATTTTGTAATGCAAACTTAGAGACATTTAATGAAATAATAACTGACTTATTATTATTTAAATAATGAATCATTTCAACGCGAAAAAAAAATTATTAAAAGCATATAAGTAAACTTTTGTACAAATAATATTTCCAAATATTTTAATGTTAAACATGTATTTTATTATACTTTTAAAGTGAAATTTTTTTATTTTCATAAAAACATTTTTGTTGTCAGCTCAAACAACAGGTGTATAAACGACATACGTTAGTTTCAGCTATATACAATTATAGTATTTATATACATTTCTTACATTTAGTCATATAGAAAATTATTTTGAGTAAAGTGAGGTTACTGTAAATGCATTTTTTTATTTAAATGCCCATGCTTTCTTTTTGAACTTGTATTTAATATGATAGCAACACAAATAAGGATCAGAATTTTCGATCTGAAATAAAATCTACTTCATATTCTAAGAGAAAAAATTTTTTTACAAGAATAATTCTTAAATAATGAAATTATTTTATTTATTTTTACATGAATTTTATGATATTTTATGTTGAAAATTTATCCAGCTTACTTTAATTTGCACTATCTTGTGCTGTAATTGTTGAACACAAGTGCAGAAGTCATACTTCTGTCAGGCAACGTTTAAAAAATTTTTAACGGCTTTGCGCAAATAAATAAATAAATTTCAATATTTTTCATGTCTGATGCTTTAACAGATTCCTCTTTACAAATAGGGAATGGATTTCTGATACAGGTGATTTTATAATTACCTGAATTGAATTCCCTTTCTATTGATACGCTACATTATGAAGGGGTGTAGTATACATGATGGACGTTAATAGATAACTTTAAATGTTTTCATGATCAAAAAATTTTTATCGGCTGATGGTTAATTTACTGGTATAATTAATACATGTTTAAAAACTTTTTTAATTTCTCAAATGATTGTCCAATAGCAGTTAGCACGATAGAATTGTTGTCAAATCTTTCGTTAGTTTTATTTATTACACAAATAATTTTTTTTTATTTGTAGATTAATTATTTTTAAAACAAATTGTTGGAGTTATTAAAAAATTAATCAATTTATTTTGAATTTTCTTCTATGTTTTTTTATCTTTATTTGTAGAAATATTTAGCTTTGAAGCCATAATTTTAGTTTTTTCATATAGGTTACTAAACCATCCGCGTAAAAACGTAAATATTTTTTAAACTCTTATAATTCCAATCAAATTTAAAGTTTTAATTATATCAAGAGTAATGGATTGTAAATGTATTAAAAGTTTATTGACAATTAATACGATTGTATCAAGCAAATGTTAAAGCAAATAATACATCAAATTAGCAAAACTGGTTTAATTTGCTTTGGCTTCTGAGATTTTTTTGAACTTTTTGACATTTGCAATAATGTTTTTATAACATTTTCAAAGTGAAAAAAAATTAATGAAATTAAATTTTGCGACCCATCTTGTATCACTATAGTGAGGAACTTTTTTAACTTCATCACAAACTTTTTAAACTTCATGAAATATTTCATGGCGTAAAATCGAACTCAATTGAAATGCATAAACTACTTCTAGTAACCCAATCGTATCATGAACAATTTCAACTGATTTAGCATCATAAAAAAAAAAGAAGATTAAACTGTTGGGTATAACAATGTGTATAAGGATATTTGTTTTTGGGGACGATTGTATACTCTCTCGGGTCATTTTCACTTAGACCTAAGATGCGGACGTGGTAAACTTTATGGCTCCAGTAGATATACTTTTATTTTTAGTGTAGATAAACTGTTATCGAGCAGCTATTGTCTACTCGTATGTAATATATAGTTCCAGTTCGACCGCAACAATCACTACGAATTGGAGTTTTTAAAATTAAAGGCTTTGATAATAATTAATCAACTTATACAAATATACAATATCTTTTTTATACGATGCAACCACATTTATCAAGTCTAGGCAAAATATATTAGGCATATACTACTTTTTATAATATAAATGGCTATAATAATCTAACCTGGTAATAAGTAAATTATGAAGTAATAAACAACTGTTTATCGAGCAATATGCTTAAATACAGAATAATATTATTCTTTTACAAATTACTATTAGAATGAAATCAGGTAGCACAAAAATTAATTAAGGACAGTTTACAAGTACACCTCAGGTCAAATTATAAATTACCCGAGTAGGTTTACCATAAGATGAGTTCACTACACTTCAAATTCGAGAAAGTTTACTACCGCCCATTTCTAAAGAGTTCTCTTATTATTTATCCTGACTCAAAGTTTATTTTGAAAATAAGGCTAGGGTCTACCATCTTACCCGTTGGGCAGGCCAATGCATAATAATTGAAGGAAATTTTAAATTAAACGTAGTTTATGTTGTAATATTATAAAATAATAGATAATGCAGTAATGTAATAGATCCTTAAATTAAAAAATGTCAAATAATTTATGTATGAATAAAAACCAGGAAAGATATTCTAGAAAGAAAAGGAAATAAATCAAATACAAATATTTGTGTATAATACAAAACTTTGATGTATAACACATTTTCAAAATAAAAATATCGAAATACATCACAATAAATATTTTTAGCAGGCGTAAGTTGAATATTCAATATTTCTGTCGAATAATAAAAACGACTTTATTAATTTTTGTTATAATCGGTGTAAAAAATGAAGTTGAAGAATTAGAAATCAAAGTGTAAAAACAACTCGCGAGGATATAAACTTTTAATATATCAAATCACCTCACATGTGTCCATTAAATATTTTAATGACCTTGTAAAACTGTACTTTTGGTTTTCTGTACATTGTATCACGTTAGTTTTTCGGATGTACGTGACACAATATACATTTTTCTATGTGATTTGACTAGACAATTTTCAATCATATATATATTTGGAAATAAAAGAATTGCAAAAAATAATAGGTGACTTATTATTATTATTAAATATTTGACAGGTAAAATGAAATAGTTAACAATTAATATTTTCTTTAAAAATAAAACATATGCATATAAAATTCAAGTTTTCTACAGGTTTATTGTAAAACTATAAATGTATTACAATATATTTACAATGTGAAATAATAATTATGTATTGTAATATTTTCTTAAATGTATAAAACATTTTAACTTATGCGAATTGCATTACAGTGTTTTATATCACCTAACCTCTTCCAGATCATTATTTCTTCTGGTGAATTTTAATTATTTGGGGTAACTTCCATTGTTTTTACGCTATTATAGTTAACGACTAAAGCTAAAACAATAAACATAACTCCGATAAATACAATAACATATTTAACGTATTTGACAATTTTTATTGGCAAAAACAATTTGTTTTTAATCTGTCCTGTCCATGTTTTATTTAAAGAAAGTCCCTGTAATTTCCCAAAGAAATTTATTGAAATTATTATTAAAATGTTTACAAATTATATAAAAATATTTACTTCTTCGATCCAAAACATTGGCACCAGTCTTTCTTCTTCGCTAAGATTTTTCATTATAGATATCTTCGACTCTTTTGTCAAAAACATACTGAACTGCATTCTTCGAAAACCGACAACTGGAGTGCCGGTCATCTAAACATAATTAAGCATTACACTATTTACAGAAATTCTCGGAAATGTGACAGTTGAAATAAAATAAATACTAGCAACTACACTATATTATTGATCTCAATAAAATAGTTTTTTAATCAACTTTTAAAATTGATACAAAATAATAATTTAATTTTTTTTTTAAGTTTGAAATGATTTACTGGATGGTGGCTTAAGTTTTGTAATTAATAATTAACATTACTTCTTAAGTAAAAATTGAAAATATATTTGTTAGCTTCGATGCGAAGCTGAGAAGGTATTGGTTTTACTATAATGTATTTTTGTGTGTTTGTTACCACTTTTTCTCAGCTCTCACCGAACCGATTTCTTTCAACGATACGTCAAAAGATCACAAATCGCATCTAGTCGCAGACATTATCCTCAAAAATTGAAAAAAAATTCCCTCGTTACCCGTAAATGGGGAAACCTCCAAAAAAAATTACATTATTTTAAAAATCGCTAATTTTCGAAACTTTTTCAATTTCTTTTTAACTTAAAACTGCCATAACATTTTGAAAATTGAACAAATCAATATAATTTTTTTTTATAGATGCTTGATGTCTTTACTTATCATTTGGTATATTTTTTTATAAATCTAACCCTTTATCTGCCCACAGAGGGGCATTCAAAATGACAACTTTTACACAAAAATATACTTTTTCAACTTAACTTTTAAAAGTGTTCCGGAAACTCTAACACTTTTATATATATCTTAAATTAAAGCTAATGTAATATACTTTATAATGAAGAAAAAAATTTCGGATTTTATTTTATCTTCACGATGAAACTGGCTACCGAATGCTAGTTTTGTGTGACAATTTTCGATTTTATTTTTTACATTTTTAAGTTTATAATGCTATAACTTATTGAAAAGTGTATGGATCAACACAATTTTTTTATGAGAAATAATATTTATATCCCTTTTTCATTCGACATACTTTATCTTAATCAGGATATTAATAAGAAAATAGCAGATCATGTAGCTTTTGGAATAATCCGCCAATTTTTTAAAATTAAACACTATCTAAAGATTTGCATCGAAAGGTTTTTTTTTTATAGTGATTTTAATCACTGTCAGATATCATTATGCTTGATCCAACTATGCCACGCATCACTGTGCTGCGACCCCCCGTCCAGGGTTTTTAAATAATGAGTGCGTAATATAATGTATCAATTTAACATGGATATAGATGGTGAATATGACTTTATTCCCAGCTGATTAGTTTCGTTAATAAGACTGTATACTAATATAATTAATCGTCTACTATTTTTGTTGAGCAGATTTTGTTAAGTATCTTATAATTATAAAGTATCTTATATTCGACAGTTGAAATTTCGTAATAGACAATAATCATTATGTTACCTAGTGATTATATCATCATAAAATCTGAAACACTAATATCGAAACACATAGAGATGTTTAAATATTTTAAATGAACCCAAAAATTTTCTTTGATATCTTACATTTGGAATAGACATGCCCGAGTAATTTTAATGACTTTTGATAAATTAGCTAAAAATTTGTTGTTGGATAATAATTTGTTTAATTAAATAATTTTAAATATTTTATGATTAAGTAGCAATTGATAGTTTCTTCTCCTTAAAATGTTTAATGTAGACAGTAAATCAGTTTTTAATTTTGCCATTATTTGGGATTGCATTCTTCATGCTTTATACTTTATAATGTTCGTTAATACTTTTTAGAAATAATTATCAGATAACTATTTCATTAAATATACTTCAAATAAGTGAAAGTAAATAATCTAAATCAAGATTGAATACAAAGTTAATATAACAGAAAAAGACATCCTCTTGATTAATAGAAAAAAAAGGCTGGATACAGTTTGATATAAATTTTATTAATCGTACACAGTACTTAAATGAATACATACTAAGTTTATATATCTTACCGGCTCAACAAATATTTTTATTGCGTGCTCTTTTGTGTTAGGGTTTAGCCCAATAACATCATTAACGTAAGCTTCAGCTTTATAAAAGTGTGGAAGACTACCCATTATGGGAGCACCTATATGCAAATAAATATAAATTTATATAATATTATAAGTAATCTTATAAATAACAATATATTCTGTTTTTCCAGTACAATATATTTTCAGTTGTAATCTTAAAATCTCAACATTTCAAATAATATTTGCACAAACGTTATAAAAATGACAATTATTTTTTTACCAAGACTCCTAAGTAAAACGTGTTATTTTAAACGCTATAATAAGTATTTAAATTTAATTTTTTTTAGTGTTTTATTAAGTACACAAAAAAAAATATATATGCAAAAAATTCAACTTTTATTTCCTGATCAATTTTGTAATTTTAGTTTAATACTTAACGAAAAATTACTCTTTAATCAATAAACTATAATATTTTATATTTATTTATTAATTATTAAAGGCTACGTCCAAATCTCAACCAAAGTATACAGATTGTGTTTGATATTCAATCATTTCATTCTGCTTCTACTTGCATCTTTATAATTTATAACATTATTACTGAGACTATCAACGGATACAACGGAAAAATGTATTGGCAATTAAAGCATATTGCCATATATTTAAACATTTTGCCCCCTTTTACTTCTTAATAAGGATGAATTAAAAAATAAATATTACATTTGAAATAAGCTACCTATTGTAACGTTACAAGTTCAAAATTAAGCTTCTATCATTTTTATTTTTGTTTTTGTCTTTTTTTTTTTGATCCGCAAAAAAATGCCCGCAAGAGCTTAATCACTAATACTTCATTGTCTTACCATGAAATATTATAATTGTTCAAATTTAATGACATAACTTAAAATAAAACTGTGAGTCTCACAAAAAAAAAAAATTAAATAGAAAAAAATGTTTAAAAACATTTCTTATAACGTTAGTTAATATAAATTACATTTTAAAAAATTTTGAGATATGTACTGATGCAATCAACTTTTATGTAAGTTTATTACATAAAACTTAACTTAAATATAATAAAAAGGTTGAAAACAAGTTATACGAAATGTATCTTTGAAACCGTTTTTCCCATAACAGTTATTTCAAGATAAAGGTCTCTTGTAATCGTTGTGCTATATTGTTACACATTACTGGTAAATTTATTTTGTCTCCATACATCATTTCATAATAATATGAAAAAAACAATTTTTGATCTTTTTATTTAATAATTCAGCGCTTATTTGAAATTTAAGCAATTCTATGGCATCATTAAAATTTGAGGATTTCTGTGGCTTCTTTAATTTTTCTGCATTTTAATGGCTTATTTTATTTTATATATTTTTATGTCTTCTTTAACATTTAAGGACTTCTATGGTTTTTTTATTTAACATTAATTTATGCTAAGAATTTCTATGACTTCTTAAATTTGATACAGTTCTATGGATTCTTAAATTTCTAAATACAATCAAAATATCAAAGATTTTCAATTTCGAATTAAAAATAATCTTTTTAAACTAACAAATGTTTCCTAGAGAAATTACAAACTGTTGACCCCGTTTGAGCATTAAAATTTCTATGTTATAAAGCTACATTGAAAGTTTTTAGAGTTAACATTGAATAAAGTTTTTGAATAAGAACTAGAAATATATATAATCATTTATATCTTTTTTTGTTTACAATAGTTAAAAAATAATTGTACACATTTTGACCTCTTTCTAATATTTAAAATACCTGCACATTTTGTAAGATCTAAAACTCCACTTTTTAAACACTTTTCCGGGTTCAAACAATAACATTTCTCATGGTCTTTTATTATTTCAGCTGTATACTCGTAAACATTTAGGCCATTATACATATTATCTTGCACATAATCGGGTACAACTGATCTAAAGAATATCAATAGATATCAAACATTAAAAAATCATTTATAATTAGAAGATGCGTACAGTTATAAAACAGTAGACAAATATTATTTTTTATAAATATTGATTATAAAAAAAAAAAAACACATCATAGTAAAATTAATACCTTCTCAGCTTCGCATCGAAGCTAAAAAAATTGAAAAGCCTATATGAGTCGTCCAGTTGCAAAAAGACTTATGTCCGGAAATGTTTTTTTTTTTTAATTTTCCTATTTCTTATCTATCTCTAAAATAATTTGTCCAGATAAAGCAAAATTACAAAACAAAGTTTTGAACTTTTGGCTCTTTGCAACTGGATGACTCACTCAAAAACTACTTACCAAGTAGAAGAATATTTAATGCATTTTATTTTATCGAACATTATGATTATTTTTTAAGCAAAAGACGTATCAATAACGTATCTATAATGTTTCCTTGGATATTTTAAAATTATTTAATTAATGCTATTTCTATTAGATATAAAAACGTGTAAGAGCATGAAATATAAGGTGTATTAATCAATGAAATATTATAGATATATTTGCTGTTTTTTAAATAACCAATACCTGCAAACATCACCACTAAAAGCTCCTAAGTTAGTCTCTCGTGTAACCAACGATTGGAATATTGTGGTATCACTACCAGATATCCGATTACATTCTTCGTCTGGCCAAACATTAAGCTTTTCTTTGCCATTAAATCGTATCACTTGTCCCACTTCAGTTGGAGATTTGTAACCACGTTTTACAGTATAACGATTGCGTTCGATAGTTCCATTTTTCTGTTATTTTTTTTCCATTCAATATTCACATTAATAATCAAAATACATGTTGTACTAAATATTTGACTTACCACTCCAAGTAATGAAAACATAAAATGATTATTATCCACTTTGTGTAAATTTTCAGAATTTTCTCTAATTTGTGAACAAACAGCGGTGGCTGAAAACTCAGTAGATGTACAGTTAATATCTACTCCAGTCCACATAATTTGATTGGCAGTTGCTTTTAAAAATATACTATCTTGTTCTGGATATAAAAACGGAATAGCTTTGTTAATCATACCTAAAGCTGCTGGTTTAATCATTTTAGTCATTGTTACCATTCCCTATGAAAATAATATCGAATAAAAATCTACTTATTTTTAACACATAAACATCATTAAAACTAACCAATATTGCCATATGAGGCATTATGATAATTTCTTCACCATTTAAAGGTTTTGACTTTTCACGATCAAATATAAATGTGTTTTTAAAACTAAACTCAACTGTATCATCATCTGCGTCATCTACTAAATTTTCTTTTTCTTTCCACTCACTAAAATATTGAATAAAGCAACCAGATATTAAGATAAATACTACATATTTATTATATGCTTACTGGTAGAAATATGGTCCTATCTCTTTTAAAACAATTTTTCCACCTTGATTTGCCTCTTCATAGTTAGTGACATTAAACAAGTAAATTTTAAAGTCAGCAGCTAATGGAGGATGAGACCACATTTCACGCATTTTAGAACTTGGATTTAATGCTTTGCTCTAAAATAAAATATATATTTATATTAATCTTTTAAATTTCTACTCTAAAACCCTAGAATTTCTAACTCTTCAAAACGAAAATAATTATGAAATGATAACACGATTATTTTATATCCCGTTTGAAGGGAATAGTAAAATATTTTATAAGTAAAACCATTCAAGAGCTATCAAGTTAGCTTGTTAACAAATTTTCAATTTGAAGTAGAAAATTTAAAACTAAAGAATATTTATTTTCTATAGATTTTTATGCACTAGAGGCATTTTTTTTATCAAACACCACATGTTATGTTTTATGGCCATTAAAAAAAGGGGATATTGTTTGTTGTCCTTCTATAAGAAAAAAAATTGTAAAATATTCAACAATTTAATTTAAAAATTCTACAATAAAAAAAAAAATAATAATCCTTTGTAAATGTACCGATATATACAATTTTATTTTACTATTTATGTTATAAACACTGTGTTTTTATAGATATTAAAGCAATTAGTGATATGATCTTTCTTTTCAATTTTTCGTTATAATTTTTAAAACTAATTATTAATTAATATAAAAGAATTAAAAATAAGAGAAATTTATAATAAACAAATTGTATTCGTATATTTATAACAATAAGATATAAATGTGTATCCGAATATCAAAATGAAAATTGCACATGAATTTTTAAATAATAAATACTGAGTCTACGACAACTTGTATAGTTGTATTTTATACCCATGTAACACGTAATTGTTATAAATTTATATTTATAGTTAAAAGATTAAAATTTTTGATTGTTTTCTAATTTGGTAAATTTGTGTCATCAAAATTTAAATTAAAAAAAAATCTTTATTATGTTAAAACATCAAATAAATTTCAAAATAGTTGAAATCACATAGTAAAATATAATAATTTGTATTTTATAATTATTATTATGTAGTCTTGATAGTATTAACTATAATTCTTGTCCTATCAGTTAAAAATTATTGCTCTAACTACAAAAACAAAGCTTTTCGCAGGACGTCAGAACTTTCTGTCCCACATTTAGAAACAATTTTTTTTTCTTTACAAAAACACTATTTTAATAAATTTAATTGACATTGGACCTTTTTAATTTAAATGGAGGGTTTGTCCATTAAAATGGACATTAGGACACAAAATAATAACAAATCTATAAATCTATGTTTGTTAACATTATCAACGATTAACACATACTAGATGTATAGTTTTAAATTTATAATTTTTATTTTAAATAATATTAGCCACAAGTGATCAATTTTTATTACATGATATTGGGTTATTCTATATGATATTCAGTTAAACATTTTTTTTTTTGTTTACTACAAAACACAAATGTGTACTAGACATTTAATACAAAAACATGTGTTATTGTTATATATTAGTATAATACCAAGGCCCAATGTCCATACCACTGGAATTAATATTTTACAGCTGATTATCATAGATAATAATGACAAATAAATTCAACTATGATTTGTAGTTATCATTTAGATATGTAGAGAGCACTTCATATTTTTGTTGTTACTACTAATCATATTTTATACATTCTATTATCACTAAAAAGTGAAAGTATCCAGTAATTTCAAAACGTAAAAATTACTATCATTTTTTTTCATTTTTTAGTCCACATCAAACATGTAAACTAATTGTAATCACACTAAACTTGATAATTTTATGTAGAGAATAACATTCTTAATCATATTATGAAAAAATTATATGCATATAAAATCCGTTAATATATAAATGAATGATAAAAATTATGTCCACAAAATTATAATATACAAATTCTATGGTTATGAAAGACATTTAATTATTCTAGTTACAGAGCTCTAAGATAGTTATTCAAGAACGGACGTTGAAAATTTGAATTTCAATGTAATGATGTTGAGCAATTTATTAATAAAAAATTTAAATAATTAGAGTGAAAATAAAATGCTTTTTTTTTTTTAAAAAAATAAACTATTTAAAAATGTTTTGATATTTAACTTAATTTACTTAAATTTCAAGTACATAACAACCTACAAGTACCATATATAATAAAACCTACCAATATTTCTATCTCTTCGCAATTTTTTAATATTACATAAATCTGTTATATTTAATTAGATAATAGATATTGTCTAAAAATCAATCTCTTTATTCTAATAAATGTTACTCGTGTATCATAAAAAAATCAATCATGACTTAACAAATATTACATACATTTATTTTTATGTATTTTTTTACATTCAAAATTTACTCGAAAACTGGGTAGTATAGATATGAATTTTATAGCACCTTTTTGAAATACGAATTGCGTTTCATTTTTATTTGTTTAAAGTATTTTTTTAAACTGTAAAGTATTAGAGTAAATTTATTTAAATACTAATAAAGTGTATGGAATACTTTTTAAATATTTTATTTTTATTTTAAGTATTTGCCATGTATTTAAACTAGTATTATATTTTTATCTGTATTTGAAATATAAATGTTTTTTTTAAATACTTTAAAAAAGTAATCAAATTATGAAATTTTAAATGTTGGGGTGCAGCGATAATGTTGAGTGATGAAATCACAAAACTTAGTGAACATCTATAAATTACTACATTGGTATTGATATATTCATAGATTGAAAATACATGCGTATTTAATCTATGATGCATTTAGGTACAAGCCTGCTAGATAAAATTTTGCACTGATGGCGCAAGAGTCTTAAAAGTAATCTAAAACAATGTCCAAAAATAATTGTGTGTTGAAACGTTTTTCAACTGATAAAAATGTGCATGAAACGGTACTATTTAGAGAATCTGGTCTTTGTTCTTTAGTACATGAACTACGTTATAAGTTAATAACGAGTAGTACTTTTATTATCTGTTATTTTTTGTAAACATTTGAAATTTTAATAAAAATATGATTTTTATACTTTTAAAACTCACTAGTCCATCAACTAATGGTTGATAAAACTTAATATTATGTAAGTGAAAAATGGATTAATTAATTAAACACTAATTAAAATTTATAGAAAATATAAAATTTTATTATCATGTTGGACATTTATTACTTTTTATATTAAATGCGAACTCAAATTGAGAATTAATAAAGAAAGTATTTAAATAAATTAAGAATATCTGTATTTGATCTTAAATACATTTTCGCCAAAATATTTGAAATGTACACCCAGAGAAAAACCTCGATCTATATAATAAATTCATTGTTCAATTTGATAAATATATCATTACTATTGAATCTATGATATATTTATAAATATGATATTTTTTTTTCTTGTCTTGAACAATAATTATTTATAAGAATAGTTATTTTGTTCGTATTAATAAAACATTATCATAAACCCTTGATAAAATTTCTCTATCAAAATTGATTGAGTTTTTTCTTTGGGTGTATTCTGAATATTTAAGGCATGACAGAATTTGTATCTATTAAAATATAATTTTAAAAGTATTTTCACGACAGAATTATCAATTAAATAAATTTGACGGGTAAATTAAAAATATATATATATATATATATATATAATGTCACAAGCTGACAAAAGACATTATAAATTATTATTTCTTTCAAATGAAAATTATCTTTTTGTGTATTAAACATGTAAAATATTAATTTTGTCGAGTAACATCCACTGAGTGTCTTTCCTCAATACCTTCATTCATTTCATTTTTGAGAAAATTATTATAATAATTGCTTATTGTACTACAAATGCATAGATTGTGACTTTCTTATAGATAAAAAAAAAACTAGTTAATTAATTAATGCAAGTTAGTTTCCTTGACTATATTATTTTTTTTTCATGAAAAATTTGTTACCATTCACACAAAATCATTTTCAAAATGTTAAGATATAGTTTAACCGTTATAATAAATTAATCTATTTTATTTTTTGTAGATAAATTATCAATTTGTAGAAAATACCATGATTGATCATAAAATTTTGTTTTGTGTGTAATATTTTAAATATTGGTTGTGTATTAACATTACAGAATAAATATTTTTAATTTAATAGGTTATTTATTATTTTTAAAAACAAATAAATATAACTTATGAATTATATTTTACGGCCTTCAAATTAAACGACTTAAACAAAAGCTTTTATTTTTCGTTTACCTACCTACATTTAATTTGTACCTAATAATAAATAAATAAACTATTTTAACCAAAATTTAAATCTTGAAGTCACTAAGACATGGTAATGTAGTTTTTCTTACCTTTAAAAGTTTATCGTGTATCATACTTGGGAAAACGAACCATCCTACAAGTACTCCTATAAGTAAAAATATAATACCAGTAACAGTAAGTTTAGTCGGCGCACCCATACCGATGTCTTCAAGCCCCAAATAAAAAACAATTTTAATTGTTATAGTTACACCTAATGCTTCCGACCGGACTCACAGACAACCGCCATTTGATGTCAACATTAGACGTTAATTCATCGGTGACATCATGAAAACAGTTTTTCAGGTTAGTATCAAGGTTTTCTTTTCCATAAATATGTGTATGTTTAAAATGATCGCGTGGAATATAGTATTGGATACGGTTGGCTGTGTATCCCCATAACCTATCATTACCTTTGACTTTCTAGCAAAACTTAAAAAAGCTTTGAATAAATTAAGCCATATTATTAGTCAAGGTAGCATACTTTATTAACCAAACAGTATCATCAATATCTTGTTATTCTTCTATTCAATAAGGCAGAAAAAATATTTCTAAGGAAATTTTTATATAAAATATAAGATCTTTAAATAATCAAAATCTGAAAAGATAGTGTTTTTTGGATACGTACAATGTAGCTATTCAGATATATAAGATTAGTTTTTTATTTTATCTATAAGAACAGTAGTTTGATCCTTTGGGTATATCTCTGATCGGGTCTTATTAATTTTATAAGCTTCCCCTCATATTAAATAATCCTTGACAGACATATTTTTTATTTATTATATTTTTACAATCACTATCTTATAGCAAGTTCTCTGAAAATTTGTTATAACCGCCGTTGACAATGGAGAATATTTGCATGTCTGTTATTAATTTAGTCTAAGGTAAAATTTTGCCTTATTTTTGAATTACCAGACTAATTAAAAATATAAAATAAAAAATATTTATGAAAACTATACTCATTAGAGTCAGTCAACTAAACTAACTCAAAACTTAACAATTATTTTCTTCCTTCATATTATTTGGCCTTCATTTGAAAATTCAAGTACATAAACTTTTTATAGAAATTCAAAACATTTATTTATGTGTAAAAAAATCTACAATATAATTTTACAATTGAAATGAAGTATGTTAAATACAATAGATTTTTAAAGTCACAGTACAAGAAGTTTATTCAGTGTCTGAAACATAACCAACAAAACATTTGGTTGACTTTTAATTTTTTATGACATTAAAATATAAGATTGTTAAATTAAAATTCTCAATTTAACAGTCAACTCACATTATTCATGTTAACGACGATGGTAGTATACTGGATGAGCTGGGGCATAGACTGGTGCGGCAGCGACTACTGGATGCGAGATACTGACGCTGGAGTATGAGGTAGCTGCTGCTGGTGCATGGTACACAGCAGGAGCATGGTAAACTGCGGCTGGAGCATGGTATACGGCTGGGGCACGGTATACAGCTGGAGCGTGGTATACAGCAGGAGCATGGTACACAGTTGGAGCGTGGTAAACTGGAGCGACTACTGGTGCGTGGTAAGCAGCAGCTATAAATCATTTTATTATTCTAATATTTTAATAAAGTCTAAAAATAAAGATTTGAAATGATGAAAAACGATATAGACTACTTAAATTGAGATTTTATTTTTAGGCAATTTAAAAATAAGGTTTTTAGAAGACTTTAATGTAAGCTCTTATTTATAATATATTATAACAGGTGTTTAAGACACTTTTTAGGAAGAGGGCGATAAATTTTTTTCTATTACAGTTAACATGTTTATGATAATTTTTTTGCTAAAAACTTCCATAAAAACAAAATGATGAGCGAAAAAGAGTCTTTTGGGACGCATTGCATAAATAACGTTTCTTTAAAATATGTATAGCACTCCGTCTATGGGGAGGTTGAACGCCTCATAAAATACGCTTCTATATTATTATATTTTTATTTGACAACCAGTCATAGTTTTTCTTACAGAGAATGAGGAAACCTACATATTTCAGAACAACAAAATTGAACTCCGTTAACATCGAGGTATGATGCGTTTTCGACTGATCTGTGTAAGCCTTCTACATAGCTAATGTATAAAATCTTAATATACTAAAACATCTGAGAGCCATACAAAAACGAAAATAGAATTGTTTAAAATAAACAATAAAAAATTTAATGTGATAAAAAGAATAAAGGTTTAAATAAAACGACAACGTTAGGTATTGATAATATATATACAGGGTGTTCAGTAAGTCAGGAAACGGGTTTCTATTGTTCTCATTGTTACTGAACACCCTGTATATATATAATGCGACGTAACAAAAATAAAAAGTGGAAAAGAATATTATCGTCTTAATAGAAAGAATAAAAATAAACACTTTATACATGTATATCTTCAAAAATTATTTATCATAAAAAATATTTCAGTTTTATTTATAATTGTCTCGAAAAAGGCAATTGTATATTCTATTTGACAAATAAATGTAAACACTGATAAGTCAGAAGTAAAAAATGAATAATTAAATATTTATTTTTTATCTCTATAAAAACATTTGACTCACCTAAGATAGCACGTTTGTCCTTAACGGTTTGGGTTTTGTCTTCAGCTGGAGCAGCGGAGGCAGCGGCCACAAGCACGAAAGCTATCAACACCTAACAAGATAAAGTAAGTCATTAAACATCAAGATTTACTAAAGACTAGAAATAATGACGAATTTACGACTTACCGAGAATTGCATGGTGATTTTTTTATGTTTGTTTATTTGATGTTATCGTACAAAGTGCACAAATCGACTGATGATTGTGGACATAAGGCGTCCAACTTTTATACGATTTATGTGTGTCCAAGACGACCGATTTGAACTAGGTTAGTACCCATAGTTGCCTCCACTACAAACGGAGTTGATGGTTTCGTAAAGTTGACTTTTGTCCGAAAATGGAATGTTTCATTCAAGGAATGAGACAACAATTGGAACGGTTAGACGTAATGACAAAAAAGTAAACACATGTCCTGGATAAACTAAGTTGATGTAAGGTCGGCTTATTGAAATACGCACTGAATCGTAATATCCACTGTCTAGCGCGTGGGTAAGTCCCATTAGATTCTGCAACCTTGGACATTAGAATATCTTAGTGTGCTGATGGTCGTCGAGCTCGTCGGGTTAACGGTAATCTGTCATGTTCTGAAAAGTGAACATTTCAGATATTTATTTATCTAGTTTTGTTTCTTCAACAAAATCTTCAAACACTTAAACGCATTATTTTTAAAATTGAATATTCATCTCACTTGAAGTTAAATAAAAATAATAACTCTTTGCTATTTTTATTAATTGTTTTTATACTAAAAAATTATTTAATAACCATAAAGTAACTAAGACAGATTTTCTATCTAATTTTCTATCTAATTTACTAATATTTAATAGGTTTATTAGTTTGACAAAAAAAGAGAAGGAACAATTTTTCGGACTCCCCAAAATCGTATGTAAATATTTTACTAGTAGGTCAATGTTGATTTATGCATTTTATAATAAGTAAATTCTTAATGTTTTTAGTTTTTTTTTCACTTACTTTGATCATCAAAATTTAAAATTCTGTATATTTTAGTAAGCACTAACACTATTTCATAAAATAACAACATGTATTTATGTAATTATTTATAGCATTACTATGGTAGTATTTTATAAAAATAATAAGTAATAACATTGTATTAATCTATAGGTGTGTCAAATTAATTTTTTTAATACCTTAAAATTTCATATAACAAAATAAATACTTGAGGGTTTGTAACACTATTGAGAGTACAATGGAAAAATCTTTAAAAACAAAATTTTCACAGAAACGCCAAAGCTCATTGGCATGTCATGAACAGCTAATGACTGAAATTATTCAAGGTCTACTAGTAGAATAACAATTATATTCACTTGAAATTTTCTGTTAATCTTTTATTAATTTATAAAAAAAAATAGGCGTTCAGTTAAAAAAAATTAAACGTATTAAGTCAAAGCGCCCAGAAGTTCAAAGGGAACTTGCGTTGATCTTAAGTAGAAGAATCGCATTTGAGATGTCGAGTCCTTCAGACACAGATAGCGACGACCGCAATGACGATGAATGGTACTCATAGTAGTCTGAAACGGACAAATTTAATTAAAAATATACACTTTGTATCTAAAAATTTACGTATACCTTACCAAAAAGATTTCAGTATATTACAATATTATTTTTTAATTATAATTTTACAATAGCTATACTGAAAAAAATATATTAACATTATTTTTTTTTGTAATTACAACTAGTTTATTGATTATATTCAGTTAAGTATAATAATAATACCAAAGTTTATACTTTTCATTAGGTTGTATAATTATATAATAGTCTGTCGTTACATCGTAAAATTAAATAAATATCATGTACAATTGGGAGCTTTGTAAAAAAATTATGATAACGTTATAAATTAAATTCTAAACTATTGTATTTGTCCATTATAAATATCCTTAAGGCTCGCTTTGTTTTAATCATTTTTTGGAACGCAGTTATTCAATTTTGAAAACTCAAAATTTACATTAAACGGATATCCTTAAAATTAAAAAGAAGTTTAAAAAGCCTCTAGGTATACATCAACAGAGATTTCTTAGAGATATCAAGCTTCGAGATGCATAACTCAAATATATTCCTCTTTTGTAATAATTAATTGTAATAATAAAAATTAATGAATAAATAATTCAATAAAATTCAAAGCTATCAATTACAATAGCCTGAGAAAATATGACTTCAGTTTTAATGTTCTCGTAGCGTTAAAACTCTACTAATTTATTCGTTTATACATTAAATAAACCGTATAATAATACATCTTTAAAACTAGCTTAGAGTTTTTTTTCAAGATAATGTATTTTAAGTAGCTAGTGTATGGAAAACATTGATTACTACATAATTTTATAATGGATACCTTATCAAATTGATTTTGATTAATATTGGCCAAGATAACATCGCGACATGCTTTGTTGGAACCGTTTCACTCTCATTTTGAAGAACTTCTTTATCAAATATGTTCCTTAGAATTTTTAAGATCTATTAATCATTTTAATCTCACGACATTTTTTGTATTTATTCGTTTATTTTAAAGTTATTGCATAGTTAACACAACAATTCTTTGATACCATTTTTAATGGTGTAAATGTGATTAAAAATTACGAGATGAATTCATTTTATTGAAAGATCAATAAATGGTACATGGTTCTTTGATTAAAAAAATTTATTTATTTTTAAATAATATTTTAAACGATCAAGTGTAAGTTGAACAGGCACTCTCTATGTCCTCCCTCTAGATCTGCAACTGTCTTAATGACATTGAGATTCAATTAAGAAATCCTAACCACACTACTGAAGATTAATTTAGCTAACTAATATTTAATTTAGATGTATTAACTTTAAAATGATTATGAAATGTAGTGTTGATCGGAAATTAGATATGATAAGTTTTATAATCTTCGATTTTATTACGATTACAATTAACAATAACGATTTAATTTATCAAGAACTGATAAATTTAATTATAATTTTGAAAACTGATGAACTAATTGTTCGAAAAATGTATTGCGTCAATGAAGTACTTGACGTACTTGACATTATAGTAGCAAATCGTCGTACCAAGAATCAAGTAGAATCAATCCATCAAAATATCCAAGTATTATATTGGCATTAGCTGTTATTGTCTCCGGAATATCACAGCTCGACCACTGCAAACGTATGACAATGAAAACTAGATTGGCGGCTGTTGTAAAGAAAATACTTTCAATTATTATGTCGTTACTTTTTCTCGTATCACGTTTCAGTAATTATGTGGGTATGGCATCAATTCGAATGTGCGTGTAACTCGAGAGGCCATTTGTAATTGCCATTTACAGAAAACATGACCTAAGATTATACCGATATTTTATAATAGATACATATATAAGAAAAACATTTAATGAAATTTATATAAAAAGCACAATATACTAAAGTTCCTATGTAAGACTACCTAATTCCGTATCACATACGCATTAGTATTATCGTTAAAGACCATTAGTCTTGTTGTAATTGTTTAAAAAATGTTCATTTTTTTTTTTTTTAACAAGTTTTTATAACTTGAAAGAGCATTTCAAAAATATTCAAATAAATGAAAAATATATTTAAGAGTATGATGTGATAAGAATAAAAAAATATTTTTGAATTATTCAATTGTTATTCTAGATGTTTGTGCCTGGAATTCATAATTCTTAAGAATTACACAAAAATAAAATCTTAACGAAAACAGTTATTTCTGACAAAGACTTAAGAAAAAATACTGAAATGTAAATGTTAAAAAGACAACGAAATTGTATTATTATACTTGTGAAAATTGATTGTTGGTGTCCCCTTAATATTAATATATGGTAAAGGGCGAAATAGCTGATTTTGACATCAAACACTTCAATTAAGAACATACATAAACACCATAGAAACTCGTATTCTAGTATCTTGCATACAAAGCGTTTGTTGTTATGCAATTACCGATGTAATATTTCGGTGCCTGCATTCTCAAAAATATTCTACTGTAAAGGACGTTTGCACGCATTTCCATAACAGAATTCCAAAGCATTGTAATAACAATTGGTCAACGAACTGAATTGGAATTAATCTATTGAATAGAATGACAGGCACAATACAGTGTGACTATGAATAAATTTCCGAATCTTGACTTTCAGATCTATGTTGAATCAATTCGAAGATTGCTATTGGGTTAGGTTATAATTTCTCTTATAATTTGTTAAAATATTCAAGACAATTCAAAACAATTAATTTCCGACTATACAGAGTGATCCATTTATCGCATTCTACTCAATTATTTACAAAATAACTTCGGAAGAATTTTTTTTTTTAGAATTTCTTAATTGCATATATTTTTTGGGTTTTATTAGTTTGATCGACTTTTACTATTGTAAAAGTTTGTAAAAGATACAATGAAGCAAACGTTTAAGACATGAGTTCAAATTAATGTACAAAATGAAACAACCACAAATAATAAGTACACAGCTATTCATCAAAATATGTCAATAATACAATATAAGTAGAAAAATTCAATTAAGCACATTTCTTCTTATTAACAATGTAAGATTATTAACCAAGTTTTACCTTATTAAAAATTTTCCATTCTTTTATACAAAATTCGTAAACTTTATGACGTTAATAACATGATCATTTACTAATTGATCCTTTCATTTGAGAACGGTTTTACTTATGACGATGTTGGCTGATGTATAAGTAAAGCATCAACATAACGCCCTCGGGTTACATTAATAACCAAAGAAATATACATTTTTAATGAAGTTTTCTCATTACGAGTTTATTCAACATAATAGAAAAACATATACTTCTAGAAAAATAAAACTCCGCCTAATTGTTTACTTGCACTTGAATTTGAAAATAAAGTTTAAATTCGAATAACAATTCAAACTTAAAATAACAATTATACTTATTTTTTAGCCATATAAAAATTCAATAAAATATAAAACTATAAAGTAAGGTTACACATTTCATTTGTAAGTGATATAAGCTTGTAATGGGAATGTTAAGTTTATTAATATAAAATATTAATTAGGATGAATGGAAAATGTCGATAAATTATTACGTGAATACTTATGTGGAAAAAATAGACATTTTATGTATTATAAATAATTGTAACAGTAAATTATCTCTCTGTAATTTTTAAATGATGGTACATAATAACTCATTATTTTTAAAATAAAATATTTTTAAATAAAAAATTATAAGAAAATGAGTTCTACGTATGTTCTATTTTGAGTATGAAACTTCTATGAGTACAGAATTAAATTGGCATTTATATGTTGTAATTAATTCAAGTAAATAAATGTCGTCCTAAATTACGACTACATGTTGAAAATTTTTCAATCTGCAAGTCTTAAACTACATTAACATTGTTTAACATTAACACCAAATAACATTGTTTTGACATGCAGTCCAATGATGTCGATGCGGCACAGTTAAGCATTGTCTCAGCTCTTGTTAAACTGCCTAGCCCAGAATCGTAAATAGATTTCAAACTACACAAAAAATGTGTTGAAAAGACAACCGCGATGAGCCGTTGGGCACTTAAAAACAAGGGCAACCTTAAAACACATATACAGGATGGCCCACCTCTCACTGACAACTTAAATAACTTTTGATCCAGTTAATATTTTTAGCTGATTCTTTTTTTCATGATTACTATGTATACATTACTAACATGGCATTAATACCATGATAAGAAATTAGATAAGGCAATTATTACTTATCACTCTCATTCAAAAGTGTATTGAAAAGATAGCGTTTTCTTCTGACCTTTTCTCAATACGTATTTCAATGTTTAATACCGTAAAATAATACATGAAAATTCAAATTTTCACAAACTTCAAAACGCTACAGAATGTTTACTACTCAATATTAATAAGATATTTTTTTACTAAAATTTTTCTTAAATTCTACTCTACAAAATAGCTATCTTAGATTTTTTTTTTACATTTTATTTAAAATTTAAAAATAAATAATATTTTTAATAAAATGTAAAAAAATTAATTATTGAGATATAGCTATGGACCTAACGTATAACTATTATTTAAAAAAAGAATCAGCTAAAAATATTAACTGGATCAAAAGTTATTTAAGTTGTCAGTGAGTGGTGGGCCACCCTCTATGTACATTGAATCTTATGAATTCTTAGTATTAAATTTTGATATTTGTTAAGAAACGCGATCTAAATTATTTATTATATAAACTCTTTGTTCAATATTTCATGAACTTCTGGTACAAAATTTTCATTAAGTGACGGAAAAGAAATTTCGAATTTTATCAAAAAAATTAATTCTTAAAAACATGTCCAAATGGAGTTTTATTTTCTCAACAATAAAATTAAAAAACAAAAAAAATTGTTGGCTTAAAATTTAATATTTTTATACATGTTAGTGCAAAAGTTGAAAAAATTGTTTTACATTAATCTTGCCCATAAACGATATAAAATATAATATGAACTTTTAACAAAAAATATATGAAGTACCAGTCCTAACGTTACTTATGAAAAAAATATTTTTAAATTGTCAACTTAATTTTATTAACATAATATAGGTAATATAAAAGCATTCATATTTCTTTTCCTTTACATTATTCAATAAATATTCTTTTAATTTCAAACACGAGAAAAATACAAATTCAATTGTAAAAAATTAACTATAGGATGACTTCAATAGTGAATAAACAGTTAAGAGATTTCATCTTTTAAAATTCTTTATTAATTTATATTTTTTTTGATGGGCTCGTAAAGTTAAAAATATTTTTCTCTGACGAATTCACTAATAATAATAATAATAATAATTATATAAAAATATTTATAATTAAATAACAAAATATTTTAATTAATTATTTTTGTTGAAAATTAGAATTTTCCACAGAGTAAACAGTTACTGATATTGTATTGAAAGTTGTGATATTGCAAAGAGACTTAATTTAGATATTTTCTTTTTTTACAAAAACTACTAACTGCAATTTGTTACAATAAGATTGAACTATTTTTTAGTTAAAGACTCTGGCAGTTGCTATTGATGTTACCATAGTATTCTTAAATAATAAAAAACGGTAAAGAATGTTAATTAAAATTTTAACCAACTTATTTTACGTTCATTCTTTGGATAAGTTGTTAATGCCTAATGTTTGTATTCAAGTTGAATAAGTTGAGAGAATTTCACCCCTCAATGCGTTGATTTATTAATTTAAATTAGATTTGAAGTTTTACGCATATTAGTATGACACAAATACATATAAAATACTAATTTGATCAAAATATAATATATCTTTATTTATCTTAGGCGTGTACATATTTACAGGTACACGGTGTAAAGTAAAATCAACAAATTATTTAAAATTATAGCGTTGTAATGAATTTTTAACGCAATAGAATATTTAAAAAACTTTGAAACAATGTCAATGGAAAATTAGCTCAGAGTTTTTACGATAAACAAATATTTTACAAAAAAGTTTATTCTTATATTTTAAAATTTAAAAAAAAAAGGAAATCATGCAAATTAAGTAAATTTAGTAGATTGAAAATCTTTGAATATTCACACCTATATAGAATATTTTTTAATAATAAGTAAAATAATTTACAGCATTATTTATGTAACGAATAATGTAGAGACATTTATAGCTTTTTGTACTGAATGAAATGTTTCACTTTTATAATATCATTAAAAAATTATTTCGTTAAAACTACTTTGGTAATTTAAAACATCTAGTAATATTATTTATTATGTAATACTACTTCGCTTTATTGTTGCATACCATGAATTTCTATAATAATTTTTACCAACAACAAAATAAAAACATTTTCTTTGTTAATTTTAATTTATTAACTAGAATAACGCGTAAAAAACTACTAATAAAGAACACCATACTGTACAAATACATTTAAAAAAAATGAACAATAACAACAGACAAAAGTAACACAATAGAAAGGGAGCAGTCTTAAATAAGTAATCCTCATTCGTGTGATAATTTTAACTACCTAATAACACGAGCCTAATAATATAAACAAGATTCAATTTTATAATTTTTTATTAATAATCTCTTATGGTTGACGACGTTTCACTAATAATTGTAGTCGTCGTATTGCTGTTGTAGTGTTGCTGTCTCTTGACCTCCTCCATTTTCGTTCGGGGCACTCGTCTCTGGTGAAATCTCAGCTGACTGTCTTTTTTGATGTCTGAGAGCATCGTTGACATCTTCGATGTGGATCACTTCGAGCGGCTGTTGTTGTATCTTAACATCATCTTGGTTTTTCCCATCGAAGTTGTAATCATTAGCGTAGTCACTGAACTCACGCGGCGTCTCTAATTGTTGAACACTTTCAGTCGTTTGCGCCTGTTCGGAATGAAAAACGTCACTGTTTTGCAAGTGTGCTGGCAAATTCACCATCACTTCGGTGGGTTCTGACGATTGTTGTTGAATGCTCAATGGCCCGTCGTAGTACGATGGCTTTTCCGAATGTCCTTCCTGATCAAAATACTCGAAACCGTTCAATCGTTGTGACGCTTCCGCGTTGACCGAATGAAACCCAGGAAACTGTTCGAACGGCCTGTAATCGGCCGACTGCTGCGGTTGATATTGTAACCGTTGTTTTTTGTTATAGTTAGCTGTCGGATGCGGTCGATGTTCCACCGTGTTAGTGATTACCTGTTTCTTGTAGTGACCAGCCCGTTCCGGCGTCGATTTCTTGAAGTGATGCGGCTGTTCTACCCGCTGTTTATTATAAAATGTGTTTAAAGGCTGTTTGTACGCGCTACTCTGTTCTTCCAAGTGGTTAGACCCGAAGTCGTGTTGGTCTTCCTCTCTGTAATTGTCCTGACCTCCTTTGTACACATACGTGACGTGCGCATTGAATCCGCTGTGCTTATCTGCCGTGTACTCGACAATACGCAGATGACCGTCCGGCTGCATTAGCGAGTACGATCCCTTCACTGCGTCGCCGTCCCTATGCTCCCAATGGTTTTTGATATCGTGGGTTTTAGGGTCGTGCACCCAATAACCGAATTTATACAAGGGGGCAACCTTAGAAAACAAAATGTTCGTTAAATACGTCATTTTTGAACTAAGAGAATAAAAGTTCAAATATCGGTAAATTTAATCTCATCACTTCAAAATTCAGAATACATTTTTATTTTATTTTTAAGTAATAACGCCAAGTGTTATTACAAAAAAACGTCAACTAAAAATGTAAAAACTTATTGCTCTATTTCAACGTCAACCATTCTAATTCGTTATAAATTTTAATTGTAAAAAAAAATATGCTTGTGTTTCATATATCGTATCTACACAATAAGCAACTCACGTAGTGGTCTTCCTCGTGGTATGGAGAAGTATGTTCCCCGCGGTTATTTTGTTCATCTAGCTCATGATTATATTGACACAAGACAATTGGCACTGCGACGAAAATTATGTACGCACCAAACACCTAAAATGGATTTATAGACTTCGAATTGAATTCAGGTTTAAAAAACGAATAATTCAATAGTGTCTATTCACATTGAGTTTTGCCGTTACTTGTTGGATTAATTAAAAACTCTTTATCGTTTTAACGCACGAGAATTACCGAACGATATTTTATATCAAAATACACGCTGTGTAATAACTTTTCTTCTTTAGTATTGTAAGCATTTTTCATAATACATTTTAAGTAGTGAATTGAATATCAATTTTTAATAAAGTCATTTGAAAATTAAACTAAACATTCATGTCAAATTCTAATAAATTATTTAAATATTAATTAAATCTATTTAAAATTGTTTGGGAATCTTTTCAATTGTTATTTACAATGTACATAATAGATGTTCAAATCCTATCTCTAACTGCAGTAAATCACAATTTATTTGTTTAACCAAGTAAATTGTAAATAGTTTAGTACTCAAAATTATGAAATTAAGATTTCAAAAACATTAAAACGATTTACCTGACTTCAAATAAACATACGATTTTAAAAATTATAATTATCTACAAACGTTTAAGTTTAATCGAAACAAATTTCTTTTTTGTATACTTTTTTTTTATAGAAATTCTTCATTACGATTAAAATAATTAATAATTATTCCTATTGGAATAACTATCAATCTAATAACGAAGAAAACTTCAGTTTTACATAGAGTGAGTTATTTTAAGAAATATTTTAGATTTTTCATCATTTCATTTTAAAACTAAAATTGCTTGTACTAACTAAATTTGAACTAAATTACAAAATATTTTGTTAAATTTTATGTATCATAAAATGATTCATTTAACTCACTTGGAAAATTTTGACAGAATTCATATTTCTTTAATGTGTAGAAAAAAATGTATTCAAGTTCAACTTATACAGCACGTGTTTGATAACGACAATCAACAGAATCGTGTGTTCGAATTTTCTTATTTTCAATAAAACGCGTTCCAGAGTTGACAATTTTGAGGTGATATGATCTATGACTGCCATCCATGTGTGTCCGGCAATTATGTATCACTTATTTTTCCCTCCATTTCGCTTTTACATATCGAATAACCCCACATTTGAATTTTCTTTGCTACCAAATGACATAATAACGTGGAGAAATACAGAGGTGATAAGTATCCATCACATAATGGTTACGTCATGATATTTTCGACTTATCTATATTTTAAAGATAAAAATATTTTCATTTTTATCTGTTACAATTCTAATATCTTATGCTTAAGACTGTCCCTTTATTCCTAATCCTCCTAATTTGCTAGGTAATATTCAACAAAATCAAAGCCACTCCAATGTAAACGATAAAGTATTATTGTTAAACAAAAAAGGATGACAATAGTGTTAACCAATTACCAACTGTGATTGCTGGTATATATATTTTAATAAAAAAAGAAACTAAGTTTATTCAAATGATTCACTACTTCAATTAAATATTTTTTTAGTAATTAAAAATACTGATTATATAAGAAAAAAAATTATTTAAATAACTCTTTTCTGTTTTAATTTGGTGACTAAAATTACCATTAATTTTTTTTAACAATTATTGAAAGAATTTAAAGCTTTTCATCGCTTTGCGTAAAAAATTTATTTAAACTTAATGAAGTCACTTTGACCAAATTAAGGATTACATTTGGACTTAAATGATTCAACAAAGGTTGTTCAACTTAGAATTTCGTCAATTTTGTTGTAAATAATCATTATAAAATTAATAAAAAAGACTATCTGACTATAAATTTAACTAATTATTTTTTGAATGACACTTATACTTCAAGTATTCTAAGCGGTTCATCCATAATCCAGATCCAAAATTTGTGTTGGCCTATGGTTTCACTTGTATAATAACATTAATATTAATTTTTTACACATATATTTTCAATAAAAATTTCTTGTTTTAATGTTAGTTTTAATGTTTCTCTTATAATAATATTTTTGGTATTTTTTAATTTTATAATTTCTTGACATATCAGTTACTAATCACTTTTAAATTTATCCCTTATACCATAACTAGGGTATCAACTTAATTTTTTTAAACGGTAACTTTTGAACCAGTAGTTCAAGAGTCATGATTATTTTTATACCCTAGAGAGAGAGTAGCAGCACTACAGAGTGATACATAATAAAAAACCCAGCACAGGGGGGTCGCGGCACAGTGGTGACGTGGCATAGTTGGATCAAGTATAATGATATCTGACAGTGATTAAAATCACTATCAAAAAAAAACGCTTCGATGCAAATCTTTAGATAGTGTTTAATTTTAAAAAATTGGTGGATTATTCCAAAAGCTTCATAAACTGCTAGTTCCTTATTAATATCCTGATTAAGACAAAGTATGTCGAATAAAAAAGAGATTATTAGAAAATAGTATTTCCCATAAAAAAATTATATTGATCAATACACTTTTCAATAAGTTATAGCATTATAATGTTAAAAATGTAAAAAATAAAATTGAGAATTTTCACACAATAATAGCATTTGGTAGCCATTTTCACCTTGAAGATAAAATAAAGTCCGAAATTTTTTTTTTCCATGATAAAGTATATTACATTAGCTTTAATTTAAGATATATATAAAAGTGTCAGACTTTCCGGAACACTTTCAAAATTTAAGTTGAAAAAGTCAATTTTTTGTGAAAAAGTTGTCATTTTGAATCCCCCCCTGTAGGCAGGTAAAAAGTCAGATTTATAAAAAAAATATACCAAATGATAGGTAAAGACATCATGCATCTACAAAAAAAAGAATTATATTGATCCATACATCTTTCGAGAAGTTATAGCATTATAAAGTTAAAAATATAAAAAAGAATTTTTTTACAAAAATCGTATTTTTTTTATTAAGTTTAATGTCTGTTTTCACCATGAAGATAAAATAAAGTCCGAAATTTTTTTTTACCATTATAAAGTATATTACATTAGCTTTAATTTAAGATATATATAAAAGTGTCAGACCTTCCGGAACACTTTCAAAAGTTACGTTGAAAAAGTTCTACTTTCTATATGCATTTTTATGTTTTGAATCCCCCCTGTATTTAGGGAAATGGTCCGATTTAAAAAAACAGTATGTCGAATGAAAGATCTATATAAATACTACTTCTCATAAAAAAATTGTAATGATTCATTCATTTTTCAAAAAGTTATAGCATAATAAAGTTAAAAATGGAAAATACAAAATCGAAAATTTTCACACAAAAATAGCATTCGGTAGCCATTTTCACCATGAAGATAAGATAAAGTCCGAAATTTTTTTTTACCATTATAAAGCATATTACATTAGCTTTAATTTAAGATATATATAAAAGTGTCAGACCTTCCGGAACACTTCCAAAAGTTAAGTTGAAAAAGTTCTATTTTCTATATGCATTTTTATGTTTTGAATCCCCCCTATATTAAGGCAAATGGTCCGATTTAAAAAAATAGTATGTCGAATGAAAGATCTATATAAATACTACTTCTCATAAAAAAATTGTAATGATTCATACATTTTTCAAAAAGTTATAGCATAATAAAGTTAAAAATGGAAAATACAAAATCGAAAATTTTCACACAAAAATAGCATTCGGTAGCCATTTTCACCATGAAGATAAGATAAAGTCCGAAATTTTTTTTTTTCATGATAAAGCATATTACATTAGCTTTAATTTAAGATATATATAAAAGTGTCAGACCTTCCGGAACATTTTCAAAATTTAAGTTAAAAAAATTAATTTTTTGTGAAAAAGTTGTCATTTTAAATCCCCCCTTGTGGGCAGGTTAAGGGTTAAATTTATGAAAAAAATATACCAAATGAAAGGTAATGATATTATGCATCTATATAAAAAAGAATTATATTGATATGTTTATTTTTGAAAAAGTTATNAAAAGGGAATAAAAAAAAAAAAAAAAAAAAAAAAAACACATCTTAGTAAAACCAATACCTTCTCAGCTTCGCATCGAAGCTAAAACTAATATAATATACACCTTAACTGCAGTCTATATTTTAAAATGGTATAAACTTCAGAAATAATGTGTCAAAAGTAATTATCAAACAGTAATTTTCTTAGTTGGATAATTTTCTATTTTATTATTTTTCAAGATAAATGTATGTTGCCATTAAAAAAATCCAACTTATCATAGATAAGGGATAGATGCAGAAAATATTTAATCACTCAAAAATCGATAAATAAATAATATTTAAATAAATTATTGTTATTTTAGGAGAAATTTAGTAACTAATGATAAATCAATCGCTGTACTATCGGCTTAGCTTGTTTTTATATCGATAATCGACATGGTCAATGTGATTACTTTATTTTGTTTATGTTTAGCTTTTGTTGTTTTCGACATTTTTGGCATTTTACTCTTTATTTTTCTGTGTCGACAATTTTCAAATATGTCGAATGTGGCTTCTTTGCATATTATATAGCTATCATTATTATTTTGACTTCTATTTTTTTTGGTATATATTTCAGTATATCACATATTACAAATAGTTAATTTAACATGTCCACATAGTTACACTATAATTTGATATAACAATGGTCACTACAGCCGTTAGTTTCATAAACGAGTCTAGTGATTAAGTTTGTACCATTCTTTGTTTCACATCAAATGTGCTAATGCGCATAAAAATACGTGTATTTATATAAAAATACTCAATGTTAAAGTAATCATAGGAGTATTTTAATTTCCGTTGTGACTGTGTCGTAATAGTTGGTGTCAGAAACACGTTATACGACTGCTTTCTTTTATGTCTCAATGAATTAGGTTTAATAAATATTTTAAATTATCGACAACATTGATTTAGGACATGTATTAGTTTTAATTATATTTTGTTTTTTTTCCGAATTAATCTTAGAAAATTCGCTTAAAAATAGAAGCAACATTTTACTAATATTAAACAATTTTTATCGATTAATAATGATTTTTTGATGTAATACAATTACACTTAATTAATAATTTGTTGTAAATTATAGTTTTATTTAATTTTTGGAAAAGTTACATTGTTAAATCGTTATTCCACTAAAATATATCAAAATAGATATTATAAATCTCTATTATCACAGAAGTATGTGAAAAATGTATTGTTAGACTGAATAAATGGATGTTAAATAACATTTTCTTACAGTTAGCTGCTATTGTTTCTACAATTATTGGATGGATTAGTGTACTGTATATATTCTATTATTAGTAATTATTATAAGTAGATATACGTATTAGTACAAAAACAATGCTACGTTATTTTCCGGTAAAGTTTTTTCGCTATACAACGTGATTCCCTTAACAACCTCTCACGAAATATCTTCGAAAATATGAGAGCTAATCATTATTTTATTTTTTATAAATAGTGGTTGAGCTGCTTTTCCGATGGCAACCCCAATTATTTTTATATCATTAGATTTATTTACGAATGTTTAAAGCTTAGATTAGAGACGTTTTAAGCAAATAGTGTACATATTTTAGAAAAACGAAATCTTTATTGCGTTATAAATTGATAAGCTCTATCGGTTTATAATATAATAAGGCATATAATTTATTATATTTTATATGAACCGATAATATTCATCAAATACGACATGATAATGTGGCAGTCTTTTAAAAATAGGTACACTTTTTTATTGATCACCCCTAAACTATAAGCAGCTGTATTTCGTAAATAAGTCTGATGATATAAAACAAAATTGGGATTAAATCGAAAATAGATACGAGTTTAAGCTATATTGTTAAAAAATAAAATAATGTGAAGCTCTGTTAATTTCGAATTTATTTCGGGAGGCGTCAAGGAATCATTGTTTGCACATAACACAAAGATAAAATATAAGGGAGTTGACCGAGTTATATATTTTTTGTGAATATCAAAATAAATCCATTCTGTAATTCGATCGAGTCGTCGTTATAAATATAATCATTTTTTCTGGATGTTAACATCTCGTATTTTGACTCGTATTTCAAATGCGATTACACTCGTACACGTAACCCGGTAAGTTAAAGTAGAATTTATTTTAGTCTTTCTTTTGATCATCTTCAGTAAATAGATGATGCGATTATCAATATTAAAATAACGTTTATTCTTATTTAATTTGAAAAGGAATCAATTTTCTTGACCATTCGAGATGTAAAGTTAAGCTCTATCATATCACTACTTTAAAGAATCATTTTCAACATTAATCGTTAACTAATTTATAAAATATACTGAACAATAATACTATTCATTTTTATAAGTATTTATTATTTATACATCACTATAAAATGGTATAAATCAATTTTAATTTATAAAACCAAATACATCAATTACAATTTTGAAGTATTTACGCTCTTGTCATTTCATCTCAGAATCCGATCACGTATATTAAGAGAAAAATAAAATTAAGTGCAAAAATATTCGACAATGAAACGGTTTAAGTGTATTCGACCACGTGCTTGAAACAGTTGTATAATGATTTAATATTATAGAACAAGATTATGACTCAATGCATTTTGTTATTTCCAATTATACGCATATTTTATTATAAAAAAGTCTTTTTGTGAATACTTATAAATTCTTTGCAGTAAAATTAATATTAAAGAAACACTTGATTATCTTGCAATATTTTAATTTATTTTTTGGAACTATAGGAACACATTTTTTTTCAAATAAAAATAATAGTTCATTAATCATTTTAAAATATGAAAAATTTGAATTCAAATTATCTAATGAAATATAAATTGATATAATTATACTGTTATTTTAGCTTTGATGCGAAGCTGAGAAGGTATTGGTTTTACTATGATGTGTTTTTTTTTGTGTCTGTTACCACTTCTTTCAGCTCTCATAGAACCGATTTCTTTCAACGATACGTCAAAAGATCACAAATCGTATCTAGTCGAAGATATTACCCTCAAAAATTGAAAAAAATTCCCTCGTTCCCCATAAATGGGAAAAACCTCCAAAAAAATTACAAATTTAAAAATCGCTAATTTTTGAAACTTTTTCAATTTATTTTTAACTTAAAACTGCCATAACATTTTGAAAATTGAACAAATCAATTATATATATATATAATTGGCAATTAACTGAAAAATTATGGTTACTTTATGGATTGAAAATTGTGAATTAAACTCAATGTTTGAATAATTTATCACATTTTTAGTGTTTTATTATAAAATAGCAACAGAACATTCGATCAATATAAATACGATATATTGACACAAGATCTAATGATGCATACGGTAGCTAAAAATACTATATTATATAATACAAATAGTTAAACAATCAAAAACATTGTAGCTATTATCGAATAACTTTTTTTGAAAAATAATCTGCACATAAAATTTACAATAAGTTTTTTTAATTATTTAATTAGTGGCATTATTATTGTTAAAGAAAGTCATCCATTGCTAACACCTCAATTAATTTATCAAATAATTAAAAACATCAATTAACTATTCAACTCAATTACGAATTGTTTTGCACACATACTTAACAAAGATGGGCAACATCAATTTAACACAATCGAAATACGAATACACTAGAAATAAAACAACTATCTCCTTAACAAATGTCAAAGCTCTAACCCCTACCGTTAAATGACTGATTCTGTAGATCTCAATGATAAATTATTAAATAAATGATCATATGTACCAGGAGATCGTGATTTTTGTCTATAAACATTCATAAAAGTTCTTATGTAATTGTAAGTACGTGACATGTGTTATTATGGCGGTTGAAATTTAAGTGCAATCGATTAGATATTTAATACAAACATATTATTCCAATGAATCAAATCACTCTTTAGATCCAACAATTACTATAATAACAATAGTAATAATCATGAATGCACGACTAACTGTCAACACACTCATACACATTACAAAGTCTTACTAAATTCAAAATTATGTAAAGACCGTAAAATTAGTTGCCATTTTTCATTATTCATCATTTTTTATTCATTTATATGTTACCGTAAACTATTTCAAAATTACAAACATTTGTAAATGAGAAAAACAATTGTAAAATAAAAATCAATGATTTTTCACAAGGGAGAGGTGTAAAATAATTATTTTTAAATATATTTCTAGTTCACCTCCGATTTCAGCTATCGATTAAAGTAATTCATACCCACTTATACAATTATACAAGTAGGACATCTCGTATTTGCACTCAAAATTATAATGCTCTTAAAATTCTATAAGGCTCTTATACAATAATGTACCCAAAATAAAAATAAAGAGTGTATTCAAGTGCATTTAACTCTGTGCTCTTTGTAATCAGACGAATAGAATACATCGCTTTAATGATACAGGATAAATGCCAAGAAGCCAAAAGAACAATATATTGAAAAACACTTCAACATTTAATACGATGGTATAATAGACGTGATTTTATCAAAAAACTCTTAAAAACTTTCTATTGCCGAATAATCTTTTTCAACTTCATGAGAATGAAATCCATTCAAAAACGACCTCATGTCTATTTAAAAAAAAAATGTCAGTACCTTTTTACACAAAATATATAATCTTTATTCTTGAATGTTACACATTCGCATTTTAAATGTCTCGCAGCACTTTAATACTGATAGGTAGTGTCATCATTTTACTGTAGGGAATTTGCCTTGCAATTGGTATCGCAACAATGTGTGCAAACGTGATTGTTACACTTCTACTTCAACCTCCAAGAATATTTAATCTTCTTGTGAATTATATTTTCCGATTAAAAAACCATCTAATCAAACCATAACTACTATTATTGTGCACTCGTGTCGATAATAGTGTTTTGGAACGAAATTAATTTAATACATATAAAATTTTTTAACAAAACAATACATACGGTTACAGCAATAATTCTCGTTTTACTCAAAAATCGGTAAAATAATCTATTCATAATGCAAAATACTCGTGCCCTCATTTACTCAGGTAAAAATATATTATTTCTGTGTTTAAGACCTGTAAACTCATTAATGATTTCTACATATTAGAGCAATAATAAATGGATTTTATTATGTCTTATGCAGAATAGTATAATTGTGAGTATTATCGTTGCATCACACCATGCGAAGTGCGCTGTCCAGAGTAGTCCAGTTCCCATAGGTCAGCAGCCTTGGGTTCTGTATCCCATTGTCTACCATGGAATCGCACAACATTATTATTATAATTAAATTTTCATCATTTTTGACACATTATTTTATTTTGACATATAAATACGACCATCGTGAGATTATAGTACTGTTGGTGTTTATCTGTGCTTCGTGTTTGTTGGTACGTCAAATGGATACTTACGAACGCCGCCGGGATTGATGTTAACTTTATTAAATTACATTTTTATTTATTCCACATTTAACCGAAACACGATGATCTCCAGTAGCATTAAAGTAAGTTTATATTATAAAACAGTATTTTACAGAGTTATTCATCATTGTTCATTTTTAATGATTTAAGGATATTACAATAAAACATTTTTATTTCATGAAAACCATAAAAATAAAATCAGAGAATACATTGTTGTTGAATGAAACGTGAACTTCTATTTTTTTATTTCTCATCTGCAATTATCACTCGAAATAATGAAAGGCTTAAAAACTTATGGATTTAATTCTTGAAAGAATTATATTCTTACTATTAACTAGAATTATTCTTTTTGAAATTATTTATGAAGGTTATTTAATGAGCTTTATATTTATGATCTAAATCTACCACAGTACAATTCTTCAAAGTATTCCGAAATTACAACTTCATAAACTATTAAAATATCTTACGTACTTATAATGATTAAAAACTCAATGAATCGACAATTTGTTTTTTAAAACTTCAAATAGACAAAAAAAACATAAATATATTGAACTATATTGTATGAAACTGTAATTTAAAAAGACATTAAAATATCTGTAATAGCTTGAATATCTATTCAATAATATCACAAGAGACGTCAAATTTAATATTTGTAATGGATTAATCAGTTTTGAAATATTTGAAAATATGTATAAATTAAAAAGAAACATTATTTAATATCAAAATAGGTAAAAGTATAAAAATAAAAATAATTGTTTTTATTATATGCTTGTTAGGATTGACAGTTTAATTTTTTCCTTGATTATCTTAGTAAACACATTGATACGAGTTATGAAAATGAATGACAATATATCATGTGGTATTAAGTATAAAAAAATAGAGCTAAAACGTGAAGTGATTATGAAATGTCAACATGAACTCAGCACAAATCCTTACGACTTCGTTTCCATTTTTTATCGTCTCGCTGTAATAACGTAGACCCTTCCAGTAAGCCGACGACCTTCTGTCAATTGTCTAATATGAACACTATTTCCCAGAAGTCCTTTGTAAATTCAGCTAATAACAAAATTCATTGTCGATGACCTTCTGTGCTGAGATTTGGGTTAATCTCATCCGCTTTTTACACTAAAAACAATCAATTCCATTTGTTGTAGCAGAGTATCCATATCCTTGGAAGGAAACAGCAATTGGATATTAAAAAATTTCCAGTAAACCTACTGAGTATAAGATAGCCAAACGGAAAGAGAATAGAAATTGATAGGATAATATCGGCGAAATAATATGATAGGCATGTGCAATTTTAATATCGTTGCCTTTCTTTATAATACACTAGGTTTTGTAAGGCATATAGTTGTTAATAAACGTTAATGAATAAATATTACTTCAATTTTCAGTAAATTTTCATAGTGATCCAACTATTATAAGTTTCTATCGTTGCTGGTCCAAATAATCTCATTTTGAATAACGATCCGCAATATAACATTATTTGTGAAACGTTGTATTTCACAAAGCGATATGATTATAGTTGATACACACAGCAAATATGTATCATATATCTACATTGTATTTTGAACTGCTATATTGCCCAATGAATACATTGTTAAATTTTTCAGTATTACAATACTTGTAACCGGAGAATGGATAAATGATAATTTTAAAATGTTGTTAACAACGCTATTTCAACATGGTGTTATTTAAAAAAAATTCTTTTACACAAAAATCAGAACTGAAAAGAAGACCACTATCTAAGATTTACCTCAATTCGCAATACTATGATATGAAACAAAAAAACTACAAATTATTTTCACATATTAAAGGAATAACCGAAAATTTATTACTAAAAAAATTGTTAAAATTACCTACGATAAATTAAAATTAAATTTAAACATTTTTTTCAATATACATTACATTATCTCTCAAATCCTCTGAAAAATCATAGCTTTTACTATCGCATCAAACGATGACGTAATAATTAATTATTTAATTTAATACTATTCTATGGTTAAATTTCTTTTCAATTTATCTAAAATAAGTAAATAGTATAACATCATTCATGATTTTGGTAGGATAAAAACTTTTATAATTTTTATAAATAAACAGAATTTTTGTTGGGAGTTGAGAAAATGTATATTTTAATGCTATAAAACTTTTAGAGTTAATAGATATTATAATTATAAATTACATTAATTAAATTTAGATAATTAATTGTATTTCACATTTACTATAATTTATATTATTTGTATGTTTTACTTACGTCTCCATGGCAAAACCGCGTAACTTGACATTATGGGATTTTTATTTCGAAGACTTCATACTTAAACATTTACACATAACAAACGTTTTTGAAATTTTTTTCTTGAGATAATCGAGTGTTAAAAACTTATTTTCATAGTTGCTACACAAAATATGTATATTATTTTCCTCTTCCTGAATATCCTGAATATAAGTCGAGATACACGATTTTTACAAGGATACTATATAATGTTTTTTTTTTATAATTCAAGTTAGTTAAACTTTCATTCTTATTTAAAACGCTATCTATAATTAAAGTTATTGATCAACTTTTATAAATATTTAAACAATTTGTAAGTCTTAGGGTTTATGTTTTAGGTCAAAAAAGGAACTTTATACTCTAACTTAACAGCATACATGTAATAGTAGTTGCCTATAGACATATTTTTATTGTACTTTACAAACTATAAATTTAATAAGATTTTATATGCATTTATATTTACTTAGTATAATTAATATTAAAATATCATACATCATAAATTATGTATCCAGTTTATTTCAATCTTCCTACTAATTAAATTGAACAATAATACGTTTTAATTATGTACTAACATTGTTTTCTGAAAACTAACTACAGAATTTTACCTAAAAAAGTACGTAAATTTTCAGGTGCTGTCTTATGTTCTATTCTTGATTTCTCTATCCCAGTCAAGGCCAAGATATTCAGGTCAAACGGATATTGATTATTATGTAAGAACACTGTACTATACATTAGCTTACATAAAAAACCAAAGGGTTTTTTAGTTTATTGTTACATCATAATAAATAAATACCTCCTAACCCAATCAACAAAACATGTTATTAAGCAAAAAAAAAAACATCCTACACTATGTGTAATTGCGATAACAAAACTGAATGAGTTGTTGGTATACTTTTGTAGTTGTTACATATCTTATCAAAATAAAAAAAAAGATTGACAATTGCAAATTAGCCGATAACATTAATTTATTGAATAAATAATGGCCGAATTCAACCATCTCGCATGAAACAAATTTCATGAAACTCGTAACGTTTAATTTAGTTAATTTCAATTAATCATTTTTAGTCACCGGCCAGCTATTCGTACAAGTATGGTGTACACGATCCATCTACAGGTGACATTAAGCACCAATCGGAAGAACGTACGGGTGACGTTGTCAGAGGCCAATACAGTCTTGTTGAACCTGACGGCAGTGTGCGAACAGTAGATTACACGGCAGATCCAATAAATGGATTTAATGCGGTGGTCACAAAATCCGGTAAATCTCACCATGTAATACCCCAAAAGCATATCATAAAGCCAATACCAGCAGCTATTGTGGTCCCGGTAAATGTTCCAGTCTCCGAGTCTCATCCGCGAGGACATGTCAATTTATCCAAAGGCCCTCTTAGTAAGTATTTTAAATATTTTCTACAGTTATTTAAATATATATACACTGTGTGAGATGAGAGTATTAACTCTATACCAAAACATTTAAAAAAAAAAAATATTAAGGAGAAATATACTTATTTGAGTTTTTTATACTAGTATACTACATTTTTAACTAGCTATACCTTCCAAGAAACACGAAGAAAATTATTGATTTATGCGACTTTAATATTAATGATTATTGGGTTGATTTCAAACGGTCGAACAATATTATTCTATTGAATGTATTATGTTTTCCCCGGGATACTGTTTTTGATGCCCTAATATTCTTGTTTAAGCTTTTTATGTAATATCCATGCTGTCAAAGGTACTTTGATAAAAGAATCAACCGGAATCTACCTTTCAGTGCTTATTTGTATTTTTTTAGTTATTATACTTTTTATTTTTATTTGAAGCAAAAAAAAATACAAAAGATGAAATAAGAGAAAAATTTGTTGGTTATTCTTAAAAAAATACAATTAAAGAATCGTGAAAAAACAGACTTTCTTTTATAATAAATTTCAGTTAAAACGCATTACTTTAACAAGATTTTAGTTTCACGTTTTCTTGTTTAGAATGTATAAATAAAATAAAAACTAAATATTGCATGAGACATTTATGTTAAGATAATTTAAAATAAAACCAAAAAATAAACCTGGGCTTGCAACTGTAGATATTTTTACACATCTTTCACCATAAGGCCGCATAACGTTAAAATATTTAATACGATAACGCTAGTCAAAAATATAAACGTTGTCACGAACCTTTAACTTCAAAGTTACTCTACTAAAAAATTTATCAATATTTTTATTTTTATTTTCGTTTGCTATACAACCCAGAAAAAGTTATGTAAGGAACAAAAGGTATGATTAGGTGGTATAAAGAGTACAGTCAGAGCACAAAGAGATGGTCAATTATAATAAGTACCGGGTCAGGCTGTAGCTTAATAGTAATTATTTCATTTTCTATATTGGGTATAACTAACACATACTGTCGAATTCAAAACAATAGGTAATATAAATATTTAATGTATTGATTAACTTGTTAAGTCGTAGATAATAGATTGAATTTTTTTTACAAACTTCGAAAATCAGGTACGTTTTTTTTTAAACCCAATAGAATCAATAAAAACAAATAGGTTATGAATAGTAGGTTATTAACTCGACACCTCGAAATAAGTTATATAACTCGCCTAAATATTTAATATTTCTTTATTTATTATAAACTTATTAGACAAAAAGTATATCCTTAAATTATGTTAATTTTATCAACTGATAAGTAAATAGAATCCAACTCCGTTTATTTCTCAACACAATTAGCAAGATAAAAATAATTTGCCTACATTTAACTCCTTTAGGTCAATCAGATTTTTCAGTTTCTTAAGTACCAAAAACAATAATTTATATTTAAAGAAACTTTAACAAATAATTTTTAATTTTAAAATTTACTTTAAAAACTGTTAATACAGTAGTTTATAGTATATCGAGTCCTGAACTTCTTACTTTTTACGTTTTAAAATTACAATTTAAGACCTAAAAGGTTAACAATGGCTTTGTTTTTGTCGACAACTTAAAAGTTATTTTATGTAAATAGAGACGAAAATAACAACAGTAATTTTTAGAAGAAAAGTTCAATGTCAACAAAGAATTCGGTTTTGTTATATTTAAATGATTTGCGACAGATTACTGACAAAGGCCGTTTACTTAAATTCATTGTTTTTTTTTTAAGCTTTCCCCAAGAGTGTCCAAGAGGTCTTACCATCGTCTGCCCCTATTTATTACGAATACTACGACGAAGATGTAGCTAACCAATATGAAGATCAATACAAACATTATGACCAGCAACAGAAATACTATACCGAATACGATTAAGTTGCATAATTATTTAAGAGAATACATTTTAAAATTACACAATATCTTTTTATTTCGGCAATATCTTAAATATTATTTTTTATATTTGATAGTTTCAGTATCATATATTGTTAAGTTAAAACTAGTATGTTTTTTCATATTAAGAAGAAATTATGATAGCAATATATCTTGTTGAGTAATAATAAAAATATTTTATATTTTAATATGTACATAAGAATTTTAATAATAAATTATTGTCATAGATTTTAATATAGTATTATGAGTTATTTTGATTTCTATCGTCGGTCCTAGTTAATTTTACAAATCAATACAAAAAAAAATTAAGGATCTGTTTTTTAGTAGAATACAATTTTTTTAGACTGCAAAGATAGTTTTCAAGTATAATTTAAAAAAATATATTTTTTTTAAATATTAAATTTAAAAAAATTTAAAATCTTTCCCTAATTTTAATTCAACCTATTTGAAATATCTGTATAATATAGTTCACATAAAACAAAAAATTTTCTATTTCCTATCTAATATATTTTTTAATAAATGGTTACTATTTATAAAAGAAACCTTGGAATAATAATTCTCAAAAAATGATTTCTATTAAAACGTGAGCATCTTCGTTTGAGTAATTTAAAACATATATTACCAATTAAATTCATATTATCCTTGAACTAGTTACACAAGTTAATGGGATCTCACACTTAAGTAATCTACCTTTTTGAATAATGATCTAAAAATTAACTAATTAACAAACATCTCTAGAGGATACATACCACGTTATCAAATTCTTTCTTTTTCATAACATCAACTATTTATTTATTCAAGCTTTCAAAATTGAACTTTGAGCTCTGAACTATTTAAAGTTTTTGGTTCGAATAGATGAACTAATGAATTATTCATGAAATCCCACATCTAGTGAAACCATAAATTAAACATTCCTGGTTTATTTTTTGTCTTGTTTAAATCTCATTTGATAATTTAAAGTAGGTAAGAACTTTAAAACACAGAAAACTTTCAACTTTGGTTAAAGTTATCAAAGACTTTGTATTACTATGTCAATATTTTTCAACGTACTATTTCATATTATTTCTATTTGTCATAAATAACTGACAGTTTTAGTATATTAGTTTTTAAGATTGATTTTGAATGGAAAACAGCTATAAAAGAATAATGTAATTTGAATATTTTTCAATATTTTATCTTTACAAACTGTACACTATTTTTCACATATAACACATATATACTAAATTAAAATTATGCACTACAACTAAATATTTTTTTAATATTCCCTTAAGAAAAACAAAATTTGATGATTATACATACAACATAACAATTTTTTAATACGCAATAAAATGCAATTAATAAAATAAACCCGAGAGCAATTCTGCAAGTATGAAAAGTTAACCTAGAAATGACATTTTGAGTTCAATAAAACATTTAAATTGTGTCAGTAAATGGATAAATGTCATACGTACATCATAATATACGTAACAAAATGCTTTCATTTCTATATATTTTTAAACTTTTAATGGAAAGCACATTGAATGGTCTTGGCTGAATAATTTGCTGATAAAAATAATTACTCTTGAGAGTCATAACTGTGTAAAATATGTATAAACATATTCTCTACAAATGAATATTCATAACAGAATAGAATAACAAAAAAAAAAAACAAATAATGCAATCTATTCGTATTTTAAACAAAACATAAAATACATCTTCATTTAGAAGTCAAGTAATTTATTACAATAGAAGGTTGATTTGCTACTTATATACGAGTGAAATTTCTTATGCAAAAGTGATGGAAATTATTGAATGTAAATAAAACAATAAAATTAGTGTTTATATATTTAAACGCATAAATTAAAAGCATGGTCATATTAAGTTATATCAATGTAAATATTTTTTTATTATTATTGTTTTTTTTTTGTCTATAACTACTTTTTTTTAGCTCTCACTGAACTGACTTTTGGAACAATACGTCAAAAGATCACAAGTCGTATCTAGTTGAAGAAATTACCCTTAAAATATAGAATTTTACCCTTGTTCCCCGTAAATAGGGTAAATCCCTAAAAAATACAATTATTAGCACTTTTATACTGAAGAGAGAGAATAGAACCGTTCGTATAAACGTTTTACTCTTCCTGCCATAGTATAAAGTTTTATTATATTTATAGTGTTCGTTCAATATCAACCAGTCATTTTCTTATTTTTAGGATAATTAATTATCTGTTTTCATTAAAAAAACGTAAGTTAGTATTGTTGTAATAGGGAGAGAGAATAAATGATAAAACTTGTATTCAGAATATAATTATGGAAATAGGAGTTGATTTGTTTTTGGAAAAATCCAACAATGCCCTTTAAAAATTAAATAGTATCAGTAGACTTTTATCAAAACGTTTTTTATGATAGTAATTTTAACATCATATATCATTTAAACTTTTGCCGGCTATTTATTAGTTAACTTATTGTACCATTGTGACAGCTATTTTATTATTTGTACAGTAAGAAAACCATGAATTAATTATTAAAATACTTGGAAATAACTGTTTAGTCTTAAAATTGTAAAAATATGCTCAAATTATATTATAAAAATTTATATAAGGATTCAAGCCTCTGAATAGCCTTACCTGACTATAAATTGCATAATTTTTCAAAATTTAGAAAAACAATAAATTATTATTTATTAAATATTTGACATTTACTGAGAGTATATAATAAATCAACTATTCCGTAAAAAATATTAAATTAAATAAAAAAATGTGTATTTTGTTAAATTGTCAATTAACAATTGTTAGTGAACAATTATAACAGCTCATTTTTTTTATTTAATGGAAATTATTCTTAAACATGTTTAATTTTTTACATATTCATAAAAAAAAACCAGCAGAGGGAGGTCACGGCACAGTGATTACGTGTCATAGTTGGTTCAAGTATAATGATATCTGACAGCGATTAAAATCACTATCATAAAAAACGCTTCGAAGCAAATCTTTAGATAGTGTTTAATTTAAAAAAATTGGTGGATTATTCCAAAAGCTACATGATCTGCTATTTCCTTATTTATATCCTGATTAAGATAATGTATGTCGAATAAAAAATGGATATAAATATTATTTCTCATAAAAAAATTATGTTGATCCATACACTTTTCAATAAGTTATAGCATTATAAAGTTAAAAATGTAAAAAATAAAATCTAGAATTTTCACACAAAAATAGCATTTGGTAGCCATTTTCACCATGATGACAAAATTAAGTCCGAAATTTTTTCTTTTTTCATAATAAAAAAAAAATTATATTGATTTGTTCAATTTTTAAAATGTTATGGCAGTTTTAAGTTAAAAAGAAATTGAAAAAATTTTGAAAATTAGCGATTTTTAAATTTGTAATTTTTTTGGAGGTTTCCCGCATTTATGGCGAACGAGGGAAATTTTTTCAATTTTTGAGGGTAATATCTTCGACTAGATACGATTTGTGATCTTGTGACGTATTGTGTGAAAGAAAACGGTTTATGAAAAAAAAAACACATCATAGTAAAACCAATACCTTCTCAGCTTCGCATCGGAGCTAAAAATTAATTATAACGTTTTATGTACTTCATATAAAAAATCGTAAAAGATGACCATGTTATGGGTAGGAATGAAGGTGCAACGTAAATGCAATTAATTTTATTAAGAAATGAACAAACCTTGTTTCACGTTTTAGACGCCATTTAATTTATTTCTTTCAACGTCTATTCCACTGATCGTGAATGAAATCCATCAAATATTTGCCATTGATGTAATATTGTAAAGCGTTCAGTGTAAAAACAACAATAATCACACTTATACAAACTTCAAACAACCTAATAAGTAGTAATTTAGTCATGTTGAAATTGTTACTTACTTATTTTCTAATTATAAACAATTACGTTGAGAAATCATGTCAACACGACCTCAAACAGATTGTTAAATTAGTATATAAAATTTATAATCCAGTCATAAAAGCTCAGTTTATTTAATGGATTTACTTTGAAAATAACCTGTTTAGAAAATAAGAAAAAAGTTCAATAGTAGAATAACGTGGAATAACGTGGAATAACGTGGAATACTTCTTATTAAAAAACTATTTATATAATAGAAAATTATAATTTACTATTATACAAAAAGTTTCGCAAAAATTATTGGTGTATATTTTAGATTCTAATATTCTAGATATTTATGAATGTTTAATTAAAATACATTAAACCTATTAATTGTAGGCATTAATAAAAAATAATTAACCAAATACTCGTAGTAACATTAGTTGTAATATTTCAGCATTTTTTTGGAATCACATGTGAAATATCACGTTGTATTACTTCCTAATATATGTTGACAATTAAATTCTAACATATCAGCTACATTTTGTAACAGAATGCACAGAGAATTAAAAACTGAAACCTATTGTATTATTTTGAATATTTTTTATGTCTTAATTTTTAAATAGGTAATTTTACTCTCACAAATTATACACATAAGTACTTACATACTTATGTAAGTAAAATTATTTCCGTCTTTAGACTAGAATAATATAATATCAATTTGAACGCTACAAATTACTGTGATTTTCATCAGATTAATAGTTTCAGTTGAAATTATTTTGAATGAGTAATTTTATTCTATACTTGACATAAAAATGTTTAATTAATAATTAAAAAACTTATATATTTAATTACCATTTTAAAATTGTGTTTAAAACGAAATTATTTTGATATTATAAATTCTTTATATACTGCAGCTTAATTTATAAAGTTTTACAAAGATAGCCAGTCAAAACAAAAATTTTAATTTTAAAAAATATATAAAGATTATGAGACAATACATTTTGGTAAAATAACAAAACACTTAATATTTTATAAGTTTTGAACTGAAATGATGACCTTTCTTTAATCCCTTTGTTCCAGCAAAAACTTTTAAATAAGAGATTATAATTATTTATTTAAAATTTATAAAATTTAATAAAAGATATTAATTATTTATTTTTGCAGACATTTGATGAATTGCAGGAGAATGCTTTGAAAAACGCATATAAAGTTTTTCAATTCTTCAACTCGTGACGGCTAAATTAATAAAATTATAGTAAGAGCGATTGCAAACTAATAAGTCACGTGTGTACCCAATAGAGCTATTACATGGATGTTACCAATAAAATTATGGACATTACTCATTAGATAATTTTGGACATTAACATATAACTAAACCAATAGCATATTAACTGTAGATTACTAAACTGATAATAAATTAGTAAATTATTATTCCGCACATTTATAACAAAGTTTTTAATTGACTCAAATGATGAATTGTTAATTATAATAAACTTCTGGTAGTTTGGCCTGAACCATTTAACATTTAAACTTGGAAACACTTTATTACTACTCCATTTTTTGATTAAAAGGTACTATTTATGTTTATGATAATGTCATATTACGTACAAAGAAACAATTATTATATAATTTTACCAAAAAACTAATATAACAACTATTATAGTTGTATGCAATGTTTACAATGTTTGTAAACAAAATATTTAAGTATTTATGTAAATATAATGTATAAACTTTAATATTCTCTTAGTCTTTGATCGTAATATTTTATAAATTAAACACGTGCCTTTTGTTTAAGAAAATATAGAATGATTCTTTTAATATTAGTCACTCAATTCCTCTTTAAATAATAATTGTTAAGAAAATCCTTATACGGATTTCAACTTTATTTTATTAAATGGCAATGTACATATTTAACTAGCTTATAAAAAAAAAATTATTTAATTAAGAAAATTACTGATCGATAACAACTTTTGACCCATTATTTCAGAAGTAATAATTATTTTAAAATATAGAGTGGAGATGAGGGGTTGGTTATGTTATTTTTGTCATTGTGCATTATTCTTTCGGGCTCTATACTTTTGAAATGCTAACCCTCAAAAGATCTTGTTAAATAAATATTAATCAAAGTAATTGTTAATATCATAAAATATAATTAACGGGTTTAATGAGATATGTCACAGCTTGTAATGTACACTGATGTAAAAAAACTAATATATTTACTAAAAAACAATACAATATAATAAATTATAAATTATTATTAAAGATAAAAATTAACTTAAGTTATATAAAATTTATTTTTAATTGTGAGCAGTATCTAAATTACTTTTATAAATTTTTTGAATCATAACAATTCGTCAAAATCATAACATGAATTTTATGTCCATAAAAAGAAAAATAAATTCAATCAAATAATCCATTCTTAGCATCATAGAAAACCCAAATGTTTCTTATTTATTTTAGTTTAACTAAAATATAGATGCATAATATTGTATTATTTATAACTTAGAAAAACGAACAACAACAAAAACAAATCCTAAAAGTATTCCACTCAAGTATGATAATTTGTTATCTCTTCGGCGAAAAAATATTAAATTTGTTATTATAGATTTATCAAAAAAAAGATAACTTTCTTAATTCCATTATTCTGACCTTTGTTAGTTTTGTTAATTTATCATAAATAATTGGTAGTTAGAACATTAGTTTCTTTCATAAAAAAAAAAAAATGTTATTTTACCTTTTAATGTACTTATTGGATTAACATTAAAAGATGGAAAAAGTCTCCCTGAAAATATTTATAACCAACACTGTTAAACCTATTTGTTAATTATTATTACATATTATATATTGTTAAACGTGCGATTTGATAAATTGTTTGGTGACACTCATTGGTGGATGTCGTCAGATGTTCACTCGTTTTTTAATTTTATAATAAAGATATAGTAGTACAAAGTAGTGATTTATGTTGTTTAAACATATGATTAAATAACATTTTTAACGTATTAAAATTTAATAAAAGTATTTTAATTAAATTTCATTACTTTGTATTAGAATTGATATTTTACACTAAAAATTTGCAAAAGCGGAGCAGTGTATAATTAAAATTTTAAAATAATTCCGGTCCCAAAGTGGAGTTGTGATTTTTTACCATGTGTGTTGTCGATACATATTTTACTTCGTAATCACTAACTTATAATGTACAGATGTGAAGAAAGCACAAGGCAAATAAATATTTCTTTTAAATTGTTCATTGGGTTTTGCGTATTTCAAAATTATGTTAGGTTTGAAACCTCATGTGACCAAGTGTTGTACAGAGTTGTGGCCACAACTTGCTGAAGACTGTCTTCAATCTATAAAAAAAACTTGCAGACAATAAAGCAAGGCTATTATCCTACGGGTTACAATTTCTTAGATCAGACTTAACTGGCGCAGGCAGGAATCGGTCTATTAACAGATAGTTTGTAAGCTGGGCAGACTTTCAAAAAAAAATTAAGGCACATTTATACGTGAACTGATATTATTAAAAAATCAGGATTCTATGCAACATCGCTTTTAAGGAAAGGAGGAGCATCTGATAGACTATTCCCATAACAAAGTAAAATTGTGTCAGGCATTGAGTAGAAAAAAGTGGTCAAAGACTTTTTGGCGAAACAGTAAAAAGTCATCCAATGATGGAGCTATTACTAGTAATCAAATCAAGTCCATCAAAATTAATACTTGTCTTTACTGCCATGAAGTTAAGAATTTTTCTTATCAGTGTTCGGGTAAACAGTGTACGCATTTTATTAAATGAACAAATCTTGTTGAAAATTCACTTATGACATAAACGCAACTGTTAACGAATAAAGGGTAGCAGATCTATTAGATACTGTAAGTCATTATTCGATTAAGAAAAAAAGGTTGTAATTCAATGTAATTGTTGCGTACACAGTCGTATGGTGTCTTTGTTGTGACCGCCCCAACAATATGTGACTACTGACCGCTTGTAAAAACAACTGAACGAGTTCCACGCGACTCGTTAAACGAGTCATTATTCATTCGTAATTAAACACACGCTCGAGTATCGTTGATATCAAACTGAACGGTATATTATCGTTTCCTTCTTTTTTTTTTTTGTGTTCTTTTTGAACTATCATAAAAATATACGCTCATAGTTTCGTACACATATAGTCTTCACATATAAAGTGATACCGATAATACACTATCTTTTGGACAAGGTTAATCTTCGTTTCCTGTCATTAGCAAGACATACAATCTTGCTGCAAACCAGGTCGCTGTCATCTGTGGATATACAGGTCGCCTTTATTGTATTATTTTAAATTACTATTAAATAATCTGTTAATGTTTATATATGTATTCCTATTTTAGTTAAGTTGTACTAACATTAGTTTAAGGTTATTTTATGTTATATATAATATGTTCACATAGAAATAATAATATACAACTCTATACATCTTTCGTCAATTCATTTATTATATATAACTACTCATGACACTCATCTAGTGTTCTCCTTTTAAATTTCAGTTAAAGGAACACTCAAACAGTAATCTTAAATTACTTCCGATATGACTAAGGCATCAGTTATTACCATAGGAAAAGCTAAGGTAAAAATCGTTGTAGACGATGTGTAAGCTGACACTGTAACTATCAAATAGCGTTTTTCCATTTGATTTATTACTGTGTAGGAATTGGATCAATTCACCCGATGTTACTTATTATAAAAAAAAATGGTGTATTAAAACTAAGTCGATCAAAGGATTCTCTAAGATTGGTGAGACAACTCTTAATCAAGGAAAATCATTAGATGAATTGAAATTGTGACAGCGCAATAGAAACTAAAGGAAAAATCACTATATGTATCAGATCTGATGGCTGTAGGTAAAGATACTACAGATATAGAAGTCAGCCATAAAGCAATGTGTATGTTGAATAAATATAAAAAAAATTTTTAATGAATATTAATGCATTTTTTTTACACATATGGCTGAAATGGAACTCAGTAAAGTAGTTGGTAATGTACCAATTGTATGCGAACCATACAAAATAACTGCAGAAGAGAGGGAACTGATTTATAAAATTGTTGAAGAGTGGAAAAAGGTTGAAATAGTTGTTGATACTAATTCTTCATACGTAAGTCCAGTTATTTATTATAATGGAAAAATCACCGACTATGTGTTGACTATAGGAAGCTCAATACGTAGGTTAAAAAACCAAATTTCCCTCTAATGATCAAGTTGGATCCTATCACTCCTGAAGCACAAGTAAAATTCCCTTTTGTGACACCAGACGAAGCCGGACAATTTACCATGATGCATTTTGGCTAGTTCACTTGATGAATTTAATCGTTTCATGAAAACAATACTTGATAATAATAATTACTTGATGATTAGGTCATTGAAGCGCAAGATTATAAAAAATATGTTATATATGGAAAACTAGAAGCTGTTCTAGAGTGGTTATTTGTTCTACTAGTTAATAACTAGTTATTATATCACAATTTTCTTCGTTATTCCTATGAGAACATTTTTTAGATCAATCAATTGTATTTTTTTATAAAAACATAAAATAAAATAAGACATTTTTTAAATTTTAAAGCTTTCAATAATATTTTTTTTATTTATATCTCTGCCTTATATCCAAAATCTGATAAATCATAAAAAAAGGTTTTTGAAATTTTTATAAATTTATATAGAAAAGGTGTTAAAAAAAAAAAACGAAGATATGAATTTCGGTTTGTACCATAAATGCAATTTCAATATAATTTTTGGAAGGTTTAATTATATTTCTCTAAAATTTATTTACACATAACTATATTTGTAATTTATCTAAGAGATGATTTTAAAATCGGAGGGACTAAACTCCATCATAAATAATTAGTGAAAATTTTTTTAATCAATAAAATAAAAATTACCGGAAAATTAACTTATAAATTTCTTAAGATTACTAACCTTGTTTTATTTAGTTTTTATTTTTGAAAAATTTTTAAGAAATATTTACAGTATTTTTTTATTATAAGATTGTATAATATATTAATCATATTATTATACTTGACCTTTTATTGTGTAATCAAATTTCAATTTTATGTTTTATTATTATCATTTAACCTTTATGAACTGCGTGACTGTTACTTTTTTGAATATTAAAAATAGTATACTCGATAGAGGTTGTAGTGTCCCCATTAAAATTGTTTGAATAATACCAGTTTAACTTATAAAAAAATATAATGAAAAGCCATTACATCGGTTTATAATGATTACTATAATCTAATTAACGGTGCATCAATAAAACAGTTATTTTCATAAAAGGTAGTAAAATAATGACTCTAATATGCTATACTGTTTTATGATGTTAGAAACAAAAGATAAATCTTAATTTACACAATATATTACCTAAGGACTTGAATTTAATAAATTTACGTTTCTATGAATAAATAATTATATGACAATATTTATTTATTATCTATTTTTAGTCAAAGACTAAAAGGGAAGGTCATTTATTAAAAATTTATTTCTAAAATCAAACTAGTTATGTATAAGTAAAATAGTAATTTTTGTCCACCTATCTCTTATATATCTATAGTTTAAATTAAAATAAATATGTATTTTTTCCGATTAAAAGAAAATATAAAAACATCTAAGGAAGAAAAATCATTTTTCGGAACTCTGTATTCTTAAGCTGATATAAAATACTACTGATTACTGTAATTTCGTTTATCAAAGTGATCTTATACGTAATATATTTTTCTACGTTATTATTTATACTTGTCAGTTAGATCTGTTTTATTCTGTACATATACATATATATGTTTATAATTATAATTGAAATAGTACTAAGTACAATTTAACAAAATTAAAATGCCAGTAGATTATTTTTATTTATACTCATTATTGCTTATATTAGTCGGACTTGTATATGTCTTTATGTATGACAATTTACTCTTATTAACTAATTTACAAACATAGTTTCACTACATAATAGTGGAGACTAAAGATCAATAGTTAACTGATAATAGCTTTAAATAATAATTTCTACTTAGAAAAAAATCTTAATATTTATCACTATAGTGCGTATACTTGGAAACTTCATAAATAAATTTGCTTCATAACTAAAGAAATAACGTCCTTAACAAACAATTTTATAATTAATACAAATCAAAGTATTTAAAATGTTAAGACTATTAAAAAATAAATCTGTGGCTTCAATTTATATGTTCAATCGATCAATTGCGTTTATAACAATTTTATATTATTTTAGGTCATTAATTTATAATTCAAGTTATTATCGAAAAATTGGAAATAGAAATGTTAATAATTTCGACAATTAAAATGAGTTGTTTTCCATAATAAGCAATACTTTATTTAATCATATTACTAGTTAGTTAATAGTAGTATATCTCCGAATTAGTATAAAAAAGTAAATCATTTTATAAAGAAATATGAATAGAGAAAATTTTTTATAAGCGAATGTTATGATACATATTTAAACATTAATCAAACTTTAAGTGTGTTCTGCGCACATCATTAATTTGACCCTTTGGCAACTAAATTTATATCGTCATAATAGTGAAATTAATTTTTCTACGTTGGACTTTTTATCAAAACATTAGTGTTGCCTTTTAAAAATATAACATATTTTGCACGCAAATGCCACTTTTAGTTATCGAAAGCAGTTAAAGAAACCTACAACGTTAGAGCGGATACACGATACAATTATGTACTACTTTTCACGACCTTGAAAAGCATCAATACTATTGACTTCTATCCCTTCGTTCTCCTTTAAATTTGTTTTAAAATCTGTTGTTTTTCTTATATGGAGTTATAACATCAATTTAATTTGAAGTAGAACCTTTATTCAGGAATTGGGCTACTAATTGTTTAACTATGTACTTTCACCTCTCCATAGTTCAAGAAAGACGTGTAAAGTTGTAACTTTTGTTTTTTGGCATGTGTGAGCTAAGTCACGTAAAATTAATCTATCCGGTTCGCTCGTTACAAGTTATGCCGTTCTTTATGCTACTTTCGTATATTGATTCTAAAGCTTATTTGCTAATTTCAGGTGCATTCTGTATTTTACAGTTAATCCAACTGGTTGTACGCTACTCGCAATTAATCTCTAGCCCCAACTGACAGTGGATACCTAACAACACCAATATTTGGTTTCGTGGGCTATAAGTTTTGAGCACATTAATTCACAATCATCAAAGAATAATTCACTTTTTCTATACGGCTGTCATTGACACTAGTGCAAGTTGTACACACGACTTGACTTTTTGTTAGTCTGTCGATTTCGATTTCTTTTTTCAAAAAACTGTAGTCCCTTCTTTCTTTTGGACTTAACTCGATACCTTGTCTAATAAACTCTTATAGAATTTTAAATTCTGAACAACCTGCAGGTTCTTTTATTTTTGCACCAAGATACATGCATAAAAGATCACTTTTAGAAGTCTCTTTCGCCTTTTTGACCAGTCTGACATCCATCTTGATAATAACTACAGCTCTTGTTAAGTTAGTTTTGTTCAGCGTTGTTTGACGGTGAGCAAACTAACACTGTTTCAAACTTCGACAGGTTGAATACAATAGTAGTGTAAGTAACTTAATCAAAAAATGTATTTATTTAACTCACAAAAAACATGTTTGAATACGCTCATAATAATGTAGTACTAATATCAAATTTTGGATAAAAATGACACTTTAAAGTTTAAAATTAAATTAAATGAAGTTTAAAAAGAACTTTATTCATATTAATATATTTAATTTTAGTATAATAAATATGTAAACAATGTTTATTTTTTTTTTTTAATGGTGACATACATTCTAACTAATTTAAGGCAATTTTAAAAAAAAATTACTTAAAACAGTTGTTTTTATGAATACTAAGTTTTACACTAACAAATCGACAAATTAGTAACATTGGATTATTATGAAAAAGAATTTCAACATTCTATGAACACTAAAAGTGGTTGTTTTTTACAGTAAGTGCATTTTATGTTGTTTAATTGTCTTGTTTCTGCGTTTAACGCATGAACATAACATTGTTAGTGTAAAAAATCAGTCTACTTTATTGAAGTACTTAGTGAGTTTTTATTCAAACTTCAAAATAATTTAATTTTAAAAATGAAAGTAAATTGTACTTCTTTTCTGAATCTTAAAGGTTCTTCTTTAGAAAAATTAAAAAACACATGTTATATTTCCATTTTTGATGAATATAGTGAAATTAATTCACGTCAAACAACATACTAATTAATAATTGAAATGTTATATTATTAAAACTGTTTGTTCAATAGATTGAACCATTAAATTTAAAGTGGTATATCATTGACAGAATAAATTTCCGCAAATGTCTTGAATAACATCTAGTAAGAATGATGTCTCATTTGTGTTTTCAAAATTCCATCCAGATTTGATAAAAGAATGCTGTCGACTGAGTCAAATATTGATTATGTTATTTAAGAAAATTCAATTTATTTTTAAATATAATTGAATAAAATAATTTTCAATTAATTTGTTCATTTTCATTCTTATTATTTTAAATGTTATAAGCCATTTAAAGTCAGTAAAAAAATATATACAAAAAAGTAGTACTAATTATACAATGATATACATAATAAATAAAGTTTCTAAACAAAATTTTGTGAAAAAAAGTTACAGTTACCTTGTTAATGCAAAATAAATTATTAAGGTAAATCAAAAATTGTTTGATATTAGACCATTATTAACCAAACATATTTTTATTGTACAATACATTTTCAAAGAATTTCATCAAATATAAATGATGCTATTGAAAGTTTATGACTCAAAATATTACAATAAAATGACTAAGTGACGCCTCAATGTTTCGAGTAAAATTACTGTCTCTATAAATATAATCATATAAAATAGTTTTTTAAATCATTATGCTAAATATAAAATTTTGTATTTATACTAATATGTTGGTTACAAATTATTTTTAAAACGGCTTACAGTTTTTTTATTTCTTCACAAAGGTATGAAGAAGAAGCAAAGTACGATATTTTATTTTTGTAATATATATTATATTATATATTTTATAAAAATATTAATTTGCAACCTGAAAATTTTACTTATAAAGATAACAACAATTTTGTAAGTAGTATTAACTTGCATACATAGAATGTGTAACATATTAACCGTCTATGAAATTTAATGAGATTCATATATTTTATAAATTAATATAATAGTGAATTAAAATCCTTAATTAAAAAATATTAAGTATAGTCATACGTTTCATTTTTTGAAAATACATTTTATGTTGTGGTAAAATGGATTGAATTGACAAATTAATAAAATATTAATAATAAATTCAAACTATTCTCAATTACTCTTACATAGTAATAAATTAGACAAAAATGAGTAATACTATGCAATGAAATCTTAAAAACCGAATTCGCAATTTTAAAAACAAAAGGAAAGGAAGAGTAGGAAATTTTTGACACTCATGTTCTCAATAATTATTGAAATTTTTAAATTATTGGTAAAGAAAATATTATTTAATTAAAAAAAATAATAATAATTTGTAGTTAAACATATTTTTTTCATCCCTTCAAGGTTAAAAAACATTAACATGAATTTTCTTAAATGGGAACCCTTATTTTAAATTTGTTATTATGATTTAAAATAAATATACAAACAACTTTCCTCTTAAAAATTTTTTTTCCGATCAACCGATCAGCTTGTTTAAGTTAAATGATTTTGGACTAAATTTATATTATTATTTTACTGTTTTGAATACAGAAGTCACTATTTTTAATATAAACTAATTTTTATTGACCAAGATATGACATGTAATATAGCTATAATAATTTACAACGCTCTAATTGAGAGATAATAGTAATAGATTCAAATCGGGCCTTAACTATTTTATTAATAGCACAGTCTATTGGCTTGTAAGACAAATTGTAATACTGAAGAATCGATTTCTTTGAAAAACCCAACTCTACACGTAGTATAGTGACTCTTAATATAATCGAATACTACAATAATGTTATCGTAATCATTGCTAACACAAAGTAATCTTTAATTTTGTTGACGGATACGTATTAAAAGTTGTAGCATAACCTCATAAACTGATTTAGTTAAATTAGTTTAAGTAACACCATAGAAAATGAGTGACTCCTGTATTCAAAACAGTAAAATAATAATATAAATTTAGTCCAAAATCATTTAACTTTAACAAGCTGTAACAGACGATCGGTTGATCGGGAAAACAAAATTGTAAGAGGAAAGTTGATTGTAGTTTTATTTTAAATCATAATAAAAAATTCAAAATACAGATTCCCATTTAAGAAAATTCATGTTAATGTTTTTTAACCTTGAAGGGATGGAAAAAATTATGTTTTTACTACATATTATTGTAGAGTTTTTTTAATTAAACAATATTTTCCTTAACAAAAATTTAAAATTTTACAAAGTTACTGAGAAAATGATTGTCTTATCCTTAATGAATCACCCTGTATATGTATATATATTTATGAATTAAAATTAAGACTTCGTAAACCACAGAAGATGAAAAAATTATTCACCCCATATTATTGTAATTTTTTAAACCATAGAATTTTTCTCTTTACAAAAATTAAAAATGTTTAATTGCTTCTGAGAAATTAGTATTTTATTCAAAATAGATCACTCTGTACATTTACACCGTATGTACGCTTAATCAATTATTTCATTAGGTTAGGTAACATGTATAAATATTAGTTAGAATTGTGTTATTTTATACCTATACCAACGTTAACCATCAAAATATAAATTATTCATTTGAGTTTGATGAAAATTAACCAATAAATTCATTATGGAAACCCAAAACAAGTACCTTTTAATGGATATAGCCTATAGGCCATATCCATTAAATAGATACATGTGCTTAAAAGTGTTTTTAAAATAAAACACATATTATTTCCACCATGTGAGATATAAATAAATTTCAATTTTTTTGAAAAAGAAGAACTATTTGTGCCTATATTACTCTCTTTTAAAATTTTGAACAGCTCAACATATGTAAAATAACAATAGACTTAATTATGAAAATGTTAAAAATATCAAATAATAATTTTGTTGTTTAAACACAATATATCTGAAACATTATAATAAAATAATTTCGGCTTAGGCCGGTCCTTGGTACATTAAATTATTTTAGCTTGGCCGGTGGCTCTTGGTAGTTTAAAAATTAATTTTGTATAATACAGTAAGTGTAATTCAATACATAAAACTAAAATTTGCTAATGCTAATTCAACCAGTAATTTTTTATAATGATAAAAAGTAAGTGTTTTGGGTTGTTATTGACCAAGTTGAAATGTTTGGGATTTGGAAAATTGGCTAGCATCGAGGTTCTATCGGAGCTGCAATGACTAAGGGTTTAAAACAATGAATACAAGTAGATATAAAAGAAATGACTTAAGTTCCTCTTATAGAGGTAATATACGCTGAGGTATTATTGTAGTGACTGAGGCCTCTCCTCTCTGACACCCAGTCTAAGTATATGACCAAGCACTAAGAAGCAAGCACACAAGAGTTATAAATAGTGAAATTAAACGATTTTTAAATCAATCTATTGCTTGACCGTTCTTTACTCAGATTATTAAATCTAAATAATTAGGTTAATGTGAATTTACTTACTTTTATTAGATAACTTTCGTAAAGATTGTCGATGGTTAAAATATTAAGTACGAAACTCTTGAATTGTGCTAATTCGCACACGCAGAAATTCTATAATGTTTCTTTTTATATAAATAAATATAGTCTCGACGAAAAACAAATGTATTTCAATATCGCATTAAAAAGTACCGACGACAACACGGGGTCGTGGCTAGTTTGATAAAATAAATTAGACAAGAGAATTCTGAATTCTATATTGAATACAGAGCTTCAAAAGTAATCTTTCTTTGAAAATCAGACCCCCATCTTAGGATGTTCCCGTCAACTTTTTTATTGATTTTCAGTTTATTGTATTAAATTTGAACATAACACGATTATTATTTTAAGATAGGACGCATAATATACAATTTTAAATTTAACATGTACATACTTATAGAATAACTAGTCTACAGCAGTGTATAAGTTATGATAAATAAATTATTTGTTTGTATACAATCGATATTATATATAGATTATTAATTTTTCATTTATAAATGTAAGATGCATAAAGCAAAGCATTTGTACATATTACGACATATTTCTTTACCTACTAACAGTGCAAATAAAAATTTTTTGATGGCTGCCAAAATTAAATCTATACTAAATTAGAGTCCGGGATTACATGCATTTAAATTTTTTGTTAAGTTATTCCGAACACACCAGACAGTAACTAACTAAATTAGCAATGTGTTGTTACCGAGGTTATAGTTTTAGGGATCTTATACAACCAAAACGAAGAATATCTCTTACGTTACTTAGGCGGATACTTTTACAATATGATCATTAATCATTATAGTATTGATTATTCCATTATTATAAAAATATACTAATCAGTATCTGAACTATAAATTGTAACATTTAGACGTTATATAATTTTATAAGTCCAGCCCATCCCTTCGTATATTTTACAAAACCAGATATTACGAGCCCAGAATAAGCCCGACCCCTGTAGCTCTTTATTAGCTATACAATATATAAAATTAATCAAATCCTATACTGTTTGGGGAACGTTTTATTATGGTATATTATTTCCCACATACACCATAACATACCACTATGTATACAATCTTTCTAACATAGAAATTTTATTAGTAAAAGTTCTAACACAAGACGTAATCATTTGACAGTCAAAGTGGAATCATCAATAATAAGTCATCAATTTGCAATTACTAGTTTTTACCTACGCAAAGTAAGTTATTATTCTCTAATGACCTATTCATTTAGATAAATTTATTCGTACAATGCAACTCATCGTTTTAACACTCGTACCATTTGTTGCACATTATTAAATCAGCGTTAAAATATAATTAATCAACAGATATCAACGCAAACTAATAGTTCTCTCAATAATTTTATTTTATTTTTTTTTATTCAGTAGATTTATATCATGTATCCTATTAAATAAATCGTTTTATTTTAAAATACGAATTAAAGTTTTTTTTTGCAGTGGCATGAAAAAAAGTTTTTAACATATGTAACTACATAATTAAATTATAAATCAAATCGTTCCTCGCGTCTATCGTGTTTTAACTAAAACTTGGAAAATGGTGTTCCAAAAAAATGAATTGAAGTGTTTACGTAATATATGTTGACTCTCGGTAGTGTCTTGAATTTCACAACCTAAAAAATGCCACCCGGGTTAAAATATCCTCATGGTACGAGTACTAAGTGAAGCGCGTGCCTTTTTTATGGTTTAATACCTAATTCCTGGTAAATGAACATATTTTTATTTTTACGTTCCTTCTTATGCAATAAACTTTGTAATTAACTACAACTCAAGACTACTAAAAATAGAAACTTAACATTCAGCTACAATGGTTACTTCAAGTGGGTTACTCAGAATTCATTTTAAAGTATTTTCTTATAACACATCGTAAAAATAGTAATATTTATTTTGTAGGCTGTCATGTTCACTCGGTATAAACACAATAACTTTCTTAGGCCGTTGCTGTAACGCAAAAAAAATGATAGTACCGATTTTTACTNAGTAATATTTATTTTGTAGGCTGTCATGTTCACTCGGTATAAACACAATAACTTTCTTAGGCCGTTGCTGTAACGCAAAAAAATGATAGTACCGATTTTTACTCAATAGTAACTGGTAGGAAGGCATACCTGCAAACGTTCACTATGTTTTCCGTTCATGGTCGCGGTGTGATGTCCACTGTACTATCAGATCAACAAGTTGTCGGAACGCGTGTCGCCCGTACTCGTCGTCTTCGCCCGTTTTCATTGTATTGTGCGTGTTGCTCAAGCTCTGCGCGTGCTAAAAACGTTACTCATGTCACCGGTTGGCAAACACTGTACCACAACCAAAGACAATTGATTTTGCTTACCACGTCAAGATCAAAATAGCTAAAGGCTTGTAATCATGTAAGTGTTTAAAGGCTGTTCTTAAATCAAATTAGATGGCGCGCGGACAAAACGAAATAACTCAATAGGTATTAATTTGGGAAAATTGATAAAAATGAATTTCTTTTTTATAATTATAGTAGAATGAACTTTTCTTTCTCGGAACTCACTGTTTAGAACATAAACGTAAAAATAAAATGTGTCGTCAGTTTAATTTGTATTTATGAGAATCTCAAAAATAAGAAAATAATATAATATTTGACTGATTCTCTTCCAACACCGCTTAATAAAATTCACAAAATTAGAATTTACTAGACTATAACCAAACAAGTTCTTTAATTACGTGGTTTAAACGAGTTCAATAAATGATAGAATTATTTAATTTCCAATGAAATAATAATGAACTTTAACTATTGCTCACTCAATGAATAATTACATTAATTTGGCATATTTAATATTTATTAGTGGAGAGAACAAAAACGGATAAAAGTTAAAGGTTTATTTAGTAATTCACTATAATGTATTTCAAACACATATCGAACAGCTAAAAAATGAAAATATATTTAAAAATAATATCGATTCGATATGAATAAAATATGATTGTAAAATATAAATGTATAAAAAGTTTAACATGAAAAAATATTTCTAGTAGAACAAAATAGGGCACGCGCAAGAAATTTACAATGTTTGATCGAGTTAAATTTTCTGTTATTTATAGTTTTAAGAATATTATAAATGTTTATTTTGACTACAAAACAAGCTTTATGCCTTAAATGAAAATATTTAAGGATATTAAATTTATAGAAGGACGTAAAATAAGAAATTTTATAAAATATACGTTTAATACATTTTGCTCTATAAATCAATTATTTTTTTTAATGCCAAACATAAACATTTTTATAAGTATATTTTTGTCAGTGATGTAATATTTAAATTCAATAATAAAATTGATTTATCGATGCTATCCGGTGCTCGGTAACAGCACAGGTCACCGACTAAAAGTACATGTTTATTAAATTCATCTGTCAATTTAATAATAGTGTTCCACATTTGTAATATAAGAGATAGTTTCTCAATAGAATGATCTTTCCGAATCGCTATACTTTTACCATTTGCAACCATAGCTTCTTCTTTTTTTCATCTGAAAATTATGTAAGATGCTGGACGCGTAAATACTCCACGTACAAATCTTGACAAGTGCACTACATTATAGAAGTAATTACTGGCTGACGGTAAATTTGCAATGTAACGTTTCAATGGCAAATGAAACTGGGAAATAATTTATTTTTACTTAATTACATAACATTTCGAGCAATGTGCGCGCGTCGTGCGCTTCGGCTGATCACAAGTAACGCGTATCTACTGATTTTCGGATGCTAATGACTTCTCTGAATAATTATAATATTGATCATTAACACAATACGTACATATATTATACAAATGATATTTTATTTGATTGCGGGAACTTGTTGTTGAATGAATAATTAGACACCTAAGCCAAACGACGGAAACGCAAACAATACTTCTTTGAGTAAATAGACTACACGTTTGTTTTATGGTAAATATTACTCGACCTTGGACCTGTTGATGCATCACAAGTATTATTATTATTAACAGAATTATTATTAGTATTATTATTATTTTTTTTTTTAGTATTTTCATGGACTTTTCTCTGAGAAACATCTTTCATGATCGTTGTTATTACTGCCGTACATTTTTAAACGCAAAAACCTTGTCCGTCTGTGGTCAGCTATAATTTTGATTTGACTGACGCTTCGTCTAATAAGCATGTTCAAAAGGCTAATAAACAACCGGCTATCAAACGCGAATATTAATTAACTATGATTTGCCAGCAGTAATAAACCGTGGAGAAGGCTCCTCTTTTGAACTCATGACTTGCATATGTCTTACTATCCACATACATGATTTGTAATACTATACATTATTTCGAGTATAATAGAAATTTAATTACATTTTAAACAAGTGTAACTAGTTCAGTTTTATTTTTTGTTATCCCTAAACGAAAAATAATATTAAATCAAACTATACAATTATTTAACGAGTTGAAAACCATTCTTCAATTAGAATAAATAGTTTTATTAATGAATTTAGTAATAATTTTATTACGAAAATGGTTCTTAAATAAAATCTTCTACTGACATTATAAATAAGTAGAAACAATACAGTTAATTGAATTATTTTCTACGTTAAAGCAAAACAAATATTTTCAAAAAATTGTACAGTTATCATAAATCTAAGTTTCTCTTTGAGATCAAATTACTTGACGTTAATTAAATCACAGTTTTAACGAGTTTAATCATTGCTAATATTGTCGGTGACATAATTACCCGTATTTAGTCCTTTTTTTAGTCGTTAAAAAGGTTTGGGATTTAAAAATGATTAAAACTGCGATGAAAGCTGTTCATGTTATCTCAAATTTCTCACAGCATTTTTTGGGTCATTTTCCCTAAAGTTTTTTTAACACTAGTTCTATATTTTATTACATATTTAAAACTATAAGCCATGATTTTATTTTTATAAAAAATCAATGGGATATTATATAATAGCCAATTAGTATTAAAAGTGAAGCATAATGCCAGCGGTTATAATCCCTAAAGAATTTACCGCAATGCAAAATAAAGAAGTAGAAAGTAAGTGCTTTTCCAAATTGTGTTATGGAAACAAAAAAAGTCATCTATTACTTCTGGAGACGGTACAATTTTTTTAATACTAGACATCGGACTTTAAATACTATTTGACTTTCCATAATTTCAACTACTAAGGCAAATAATCCTACTGTATATCCGCTTCTTTTATATATATAAAAAAAAAAAAAGATATTAGCTCTTCAACACAGCAAACGGTCATTATTTAGATCCTAAGTACCCAAAAAATCACTGTTCTCGTAGAATAACGAAGCTGCTGCAGCAGCAACTCATCATTTCGCACAGATAACGACAGGAGACAAGACAATATAATATCGTTTTCAATAGTGAATACTTAAACCTCGTCTATGATGAAAATTTATACGCAAAATCCGTTACGCTATTCGGATAAGTCACGATCGTTTGGCAAACCCTCTCGGGTCGCGTTACTCCTGCAACTATAGTGTATTACATATACTAAATACAATACTCTGGTTTGCACACGAGCGGATTTTTAATATATTTTTACGCGTGATACATTGTAAAGAAGCTGAAACTCTTTTTTTTTTCTCGTGACTTATCATATGAACGTCGCCTGTACCTCCCGTCTATCCAAACTAGTTGTTATAATTATTTATTTTAATAGAAATCGTATTACCCGGTAACGTCGTTTATATCTCACTCGTCAGATTGAAATCTAGACACTGTTATTTATGTCTGAAAGATAATGTTAACTTTTAACGTTCTACCGTGAGAAATTATGCAAATACGTTTGATATAACACTCATTAATGTCGTTGGGGGCGGATAGATTCATTTTTCTCAACTAACTCATAACACATAGTTCATATGAGTACACAACAATTGTTCTAGTATAGAAATAACATACTATAAATATGGTGTATCCCGTGTGCGATTTGTTCTGGTTTGCATAGGACCTGACAAAGGAAACGGACAAACGATTACCCTAAAATAATAATATTTCATCAACAAAATTGAGAAGACAATCGATTGAACTTTTACTCGCGTTCACTAATATCGTAATCTCACTATAATAATAAAATTGATCATAGGTTGTCAAACCATTTAAAAGTAATGCTGATTTATTACTTAAACGAATCAAATTAAACATTTTTATTGAAATCGTTTTTTTAAGTTCACGTGGTCATAACGACAAAACTTATCGATCTATACTAACGAGCACCACAACTATAAAATTACATTACAATATATCAATTTTCATTACGTAAGTAATCCTTTAATACTGTGCATTTACTCGTAAAAATGTATTCTATGGTGTTCAATAGAATATTGATTACGATCTGTTTCTTACGTATGTTTACGTTTCTATGGTTTTGGTCTTTAAACGAATCTGAATTGTTCCAGACAGTAAATAATGTACTAGAACATATAAACGAATGAATAAGTTTTAATTAAACAATTGTTTTATGAATATTCATCGCTGAGCAGTTCACTAACCAGAATATAGTACAGCGTTTATTTCAATATATGCTTAAAATTCAAATTTATTTTTTCGTATTCAATAATTTCAATCAGCAGAAATAATTAATTAATATTTTTAACATAATTTCGTACCTTTAAAAACTAGTTATTCTTTGACTTCAATAATTAGTTACGAATTATCAAACCAAAATATTTTGATTTATGTATAACCACACTATGTACTTTTCTGTGTTTTACAAATTGTTTTAAATTATTACATAAAACCACTTTTTGTATAATATACACAACTAGCTTAGTGCCTGTTTTTTAATACATTACGAAAAAAGTAACCCCGAAGCAATTGTTTTAAATGAAAATAAAATTAAGCCGCTCATATCATTACTACGAGCTCGTTACTGTTTAATTTAAGGTCGAAAAATGAATAAAAATTTTTAAATATAAATGTTTGTACATTTTAGGTAAAAGCCAACAACTTTTGTTAACAAATTTTCAGATGGTGTACTCAATTTTTCTTTTTTGCGCGCACCTACTGCACTTATTTCTCATTTTATTTGCCAGCTAATCTTAATAACAAGATAAAATCAATTTAATATTGTGTGGATCAGTTAAAATATCTATGTATTTTGTGTATTACTACGGATTAAAACGAGAAACACATTATTTCTTTAAATAACAAATGACAAAAGATGATGTAATAGTATTCTTATTGCCCAAATTAAATTAATACATTAAATACACTTACGGTGCACAAAACCTAAAAATGCCCAGAGTACTACTAAATTTAAACTGATTTGAATTATATTAAGCATTATAGCTAAAATTCTATTATTTAATAGACACACCTTTAAGTTTTAAACAATGTAATGATTGAACTTTTAGTAATATGACTGTTTATATAAGAAACGCGTTATTT